TTCGGAGGACGCTTCGCTGTCTTTCACTTTGGACTCTGGGGCTTCGCACTGCTTCTTTCGGGAACACACGACACTTACTCCGCTTCCGGCGCCGGTCTCTGTGGCTCTGGCTGATCCCACCTCGGGACCAGTCACTGCTCGCTACACTACTACTCTTCCGTGCCCTGCTGTTCCCTCTGGGTCTCTGACTGGCTTCCACGTCCCCTTGTTCTCGCGGAACTTGGTGGGCGTGAGGCCTCTTGTGAGTCAGCACGTGGGTGTGTGGATTGAGCCCTCTGGCGAGACGGCTGTTTGTGTTGACGGAGACACTTACACGCCTCTTGCCACCTTTACAGCTGAGCCGGGCTCTGGTCTCTACACACTTCACACTACCTCTGGTGGGCAGCAGCAGCAGCAGCAGCGACTACTGCCCCCGGCCCCTGTTCCTTCCCCCAGTCTGGTCCCTGCGTCTCACCAGGTTGCTGCGTCCCCCCAGGTAGGTGTGTCTGGTCAGGTTCCCGTGTCTTGTCCAGTTGCTGCGTTGTGCTCATGCCGGTCACTTGCCCACCCCACCGTTCTGTGGCACCACCGGTTGGGGCACCCGTCTCTCCCTCGTCTACGCACTATGTCTCATCAGCGTCTTGTCTTAGGCCTCCCACGTGTCTTGCCGTCGCTGCCGCCTTCGCTTGCACCACCATGCGGTCCCTGCGTCGAGGGTAGGCTTCGCGCCACCCCTCACTCCTCCTCCCTTCGTCCGGCCACCGAGCCTTTTGAGACGCTCCACTTGGACGTCTGGGGCCCTGCCTCTCGCCTTGGCCCTGAGCGTGAGCGTTTCTTTCTGGTGGTCGTTGACGACTACTCCCGCTACACCACAGTGTTCCCTCTTGCGAAGAAGTCTGAGGTGACTTCTACGCTGATCAGGTGGTTGCTTACCACTGAGGGCACTCGTGGTCGTCGAGCCAGCTGTCTTCACTCCGACCGTGGGGGTGAGTTTCGCTCCGGCATTCTCGCTGGATTCTGTCGCGAGCAGGGCATTCGTCAGTCCTGGACGCTTCCAGAGTCCCCACAGCAGAATGGGGTTGCTGAGCGCCGCATAGGCTTGGTCATGGAGATCGCCCGCACCTCCTTGATTCACGCCCGTGCCCCCCATTTTCTGTGGCCCTACGCGGTTAGGTACGCCGCTCACCAGCTGAACCTCTGGCCACGTGTCTCTCGGCCAGAGGTTTCACCGACTAGTCTTTGGACCGGGTCCCCTGGTGTTGCGTCGCGGTTTCGTGCCTGGGGTTGCTTGGCTCTTGTTCGCGACACCTCCGCGGACAAGATCTCGCCTCGCGCCGTTCCTTGTGTCTTCCTTGGTTTCCCATAATACTCCTCTGACTTCACCTTTTACCACCCTCCCCTTCACCGGTTCTTTGACTCCCGTGACGTCAGTTTCGACGAGTCCGTCCCCTACTACGTCAGGTACCCCTGCCGAGGTCTCCCGGTTCCTCCTCCCCCTCTCTTCCTGACTTCCGCTCCCCCTCCTGCTCCCCCGGTACAGCCTCCCCCCCTGGTCCAGCCCTGTCAGGTGTGTCCCACGCTACCCCTCCCCCCTCGATAGCCCCTCAGGTACAGCCTCCTTCCCCGCAATCCTCCTCGCAGCCTGCGGCAGACCCTCCGGGAGCCGATGTTCGTGGCGAGGACCCTGTCGGTGCTAGCTCTAGGGGTGCTGGAGTTGGGGCTGAGCCCGAGGCTGCAGGAGACTCTCGTCTTCCGGGAGCTGGTGTAGGTGGTGCTGACTCTGGGGGTGCTACGTCTGGGGGTGCGGGTGCGCCCCCTTCGGGTCCTTGTGAGCCTGGCCGTGTTGCTGTTGGTGGTACTGCCTTGGGGGTGGTGCACCGGGTGCTTTGGAGGGTGGTCCTGGGGCTGCCGCGGCCCCGGACACTACTCCTCCCCCCCACCCCTACCCGACCCGGCACCAGGCTCGTGTTCGCCGTGCTCGTGAGGAGCAGCTGGAGTTAGAGAGAGAGGCGAGAGAGTTGCAGCGGCTGGAGGTGGAGCAACGGCAGCAGCAGCAGCTGGAGGAGCAGCAGCAGCAGCAGTAGCACCAGCAGCAGCAGCCGCGGGAGCAGCAGCAGCAGTCGCAGCCGTCGCAGCTGCACCAGGAGCAGCAGCCGCAGCCACCTCCTCCTGTCTCTGGTCTTCGAACCCTCGGTCTCCCCTCTCCCTCTCCTTCCTCCTCCCCCTCTCCTCCTGTCTACGGTCCCACGTTTCCTCCTCCTGACTCCTCCCCAGCTGTTCTCCCTCGTTCTCCGACTCAGTTGTCTCCCCCTCCTTTGCCCGTCTGGCCCTCTCGTCGCTCTCCTCGTGCTCGTCCCTCGTCCCCTGTCGCTCTCACTGACCTTTGTACTGCCCTGTTCCGTCCTAGTCCGCCTCATTCGTCTCAGTCTGTGCTTCCTTCTCCTCCTGAGTCGGCCTTCACTGCTTCCCTCTCTACTCCTGTCACTGACTACTACTGCACGTACCGTCCTGTTCTCTCTCGTGTTCTCGCCTCTCTTGTTACGGACCCTCGTGCCTCTCTGTCCTCTGTCTCCGCCCTGTCGCCGTCACTGAGTTCGCCACTACTCGCCGCCTTGACTACGCCACTTGTCTCGTGGTTGCTCCTCCTACCAGTCCTCTGGCCGTCGGTGGTGAGTCTGCCCTTGGCTGTGACGCCCTAGAGGACAGGCAGTTTGAGCTGGAGAACCTGGCAGCCGCTTCCCCTCATCTCTGTGCCATGCTGCTCTCCCCTGAGGGAGACCTCGACGCCCTTCACATACCGACTCCTCGCACTTACGTTGAGGCAGTGTCAGGGCCTTGGGCCTCTCAGTGGAGAGCTGCCATGGACGCAGAGATGGCCTCCTACAGATCCACAGGCACCTACGTCGACGAGGTTCCCCCCCCTGGGGCGAACGTAGTCGATGACATGTGGACCTACAGGGTGAAGCGGCCACCGGGATCTCCTCCGGTCTTCAAGGCGCGCTATGTGGCTAGAGGTTTTAGTCAGCGCGAGGGAGTTGACTTCTTTCAGACCTTCGCACCTACCCCGAAGATGACCACTCTTCGGGTGTTACTACACATAGCAGCACAGAGAGACTACGAGTTACACTCTCTCGACTTCTCCACTGCTTTCCTTTAGGGTAGCCTTCACGAGGAGGTCTGGCTGCGTCGTCCCTCTGCCTTCACTGGCACTTTCCCTCCTGGGACCCAGTGGAGGCTGAGGCGACTTGTCTACGGTCTCCGTCAGGCTCCTCGTGAGTGGCACGACACCCTTCGTTCTACCCTCTCTGACCTTGGTTTCTAGCCGTCTTCTGCCGACCCGTCGCTGTTCGTCCGTCGTGGCTCCACACCTTTCTTTGTTCTGGTCTACATCGACGACCTGGTTTTTGCCACTGCTGACAGAACTGAAGTCCGAACTGCAGAAGAGACATACGTGCACTGACCTTGGTGAGCTGCGCCACTACCTTGGCCTGCAGATCACCAGGGACAGAGCTACTCGCACCATTACACTCTCACAGTCACACATGGTGCAGCAGGTTCTTCAATGGTTCGAGCTTCAGCACTCCACAATACAGCGCACACCTCTTGCTGTTGACCATAGACTTACTGGACCCTTTCCTGACGAGCCGTTTGAGTCTAGTGGTCCCTACGCAGAGCTGGTGGGCTGCCTCATGTACCTGATGACTTGTACTCGCCCGGAGCTCGCCTTCCCTCTCAGCATCCTTGCTCGCTTTGTTGCGCCAGGGAGACACCGTCCTGTTCACTGGACGGCAGCTGTGAGGGTGGCGAAGTACCTAGCGACGACATCAGGCGTGGGGCTAGTTCTTGGAGGACAGCAGTCTGTCGTACTTACTGGTCACTGTGACTCTTTTTACGCTGAGACTCACATGTCTACTCAGGGGTACTGTTTCAGCTTGGGTTCTGGAGCTGTTTCGTGGAGGTCCACGCGCTCCTCTTCGGTCTCGACCTCTACTGCTGAGGCTGAGATCTACGCTGGTGCCATGACGGCACAGGAGCTGCGTTGGTTGACCTTCTTGCTCGCCGACCTTGGTGAGCGGCCGAGCTCTGCACCGACCTTCTCCTCCGTCGAGAGCCGCGACTGGAGAGCAGAGTGAAGCACATTAACGTCAGGTACTTTCTTATGCGTGAGTTGTAGAGACGTGGACAGGCTCGCTTCGGATTTGTGGAGTCCGTGGCCAACACTGCAGACATCTTCACCAAGGCGCTTCCGCCTTGTGACCACCAGAGGTGTTGTGTGCAGTTAGGTCTTGTTGACACAGGTTCTAGTCGTGTGTAGGCTTGAGTTTACCGTTTGCTTTGCTTGTACTCTTACCATACACCTTTGTGAACTCTTGAACTGGCCTTGTGGCCCCTGTTGCTTGTGCTCAGATTGTGTGGTGACGTTGTGATCCACCCTGAGCTTTGTTTCTTTGTGACTGGTCTTGTGACCGTACACTTTGGTTTTGCTTGACATCCCTCACTTAGGCTATGGGGGTGTGTCAAATGTTGTAGCCTGTAGTGAGGTTTGTCTTAGGGGGTACAAATGTTAGGGTTTGCTATATGTACCCCAACCCTCATCAATAACACAACACTTTCATTCTTGACACTTCTGTATTTGCATGTTTTAATCATCTCAAGCATTTTACATTCACTCTGCTATTGAGGTCAAGGGCCTACCACTAATACCTAAACTGTGTGTTAACCTTCTTGAGGAGATCCTAGGGTCGATCGCCTCCTGATCGTAACAGCATGTACCGTAACATAAATACCATGCCATTTACCGTGATATGCAATTCGTAATTCAAGAGAGCAGTATTAGAGCTCTTGTTTTCAAGCATCATGTGGGATAACGCAGCCTCACAAAAAGCAGGATCTTCCTGCTCCTCCAAAACTGGTTTTGAATACTCGTGAGTCAGATTTCGTCGTCTCGTGCGTATTGTACTGCTGCGAGATTGTCGCGTGTGCCTCGAGAGTCAGTGGGCACGAAATTCCTAGCGCATGTCATGGCGGTCGATATGGCCGCTCTAGTGGTCGACGATTTTTCTCCTCTCGGCTCGCTGACGCCCGAAAAGCAGGTGAACCTGGGGATTTTGTCCGACTCCTACTGTTAATGTCGGACCTCACTTTCACTTTTCACTGGTTTCGTTCGGCAAGGATAAGAAATGCTGATCGAGCGACGAATCGTCTATTTTCTCCATTGCGAACCGTGTCGCGTGGTCTCTTTGAAACCCTCTTCTCTGGCCATCTCAGGAATTCATGGTTAGATTCGGAAAGGTGCACAAGTGAACTGGGTTTTCAGAAGGGCGCCAGGCTTGTACTCAGCATCTCCTCAGTAACGGAAGTTAGCGTCGCCTCACAAATCACCGAGATTGAGTAGAACGCTTACAGAGTACATTAAAATCCTTGCGGACTTGCATAGCCAGCGTAATTAGTGGCGGCAGCATTGCTGGCGATGTTGTCGCTTCGAAAAGCCTTCCCCTCAATCCTCTTCTCTCCGCCCAAACCCGCCTATCCCATCGCGCTCGTCCCTTCCCGTTTTACCCCCATCCCCCCACCCCCCCACGCTCCCCCCATCCCCCACCTCAGGAGACAGCAGCATGTGTGGCGCTGAGGGGCTTCTCTTCGTCGCTCGTGAGAATCCGCTTGGAGAGCGAGAGGGGCGTGCGGCGGGCATTCACCCGCGCGCGTTTCGTCCCCTGTTCTCCCCCTGCCCCCCATTTCCGTCCCCCTCCCCTCCCTCCAACCCCCTCGATCGCCCACGTGTTCCCGCAGGAGACAGCAGCATGTGTGGCGGTGCTGGCGGCGCTGAGGGGATTCCCCTCGTCTCTGGTGAGAATCCGCCTGGCCAACGAGAGGGGCGTGCTGGGGGCGCGTGCCAGCCTCGTGGCAGAGCCGCCTCACCAGCTGCCCTACAACATCCAGGTGCGTGCGTGTGTGTGTTATTCGCGTTTGCGTTTGCTTTGCGATTTTGCTCCGCTTGAGAGTGCGTTGAGACGTCTTAAAGCCAGCCTCGTGGCAGAGCCGCCTCACGCGCTGGCCTACAACATCCAGGTGCTTGCCTTTGTGCTTGTGCTGCGTTAGAGAGCGCAGAGTGCTTGCATTTGCTTTGCGCTTGTGATCCGCCTGGAGAGCGAGAGGGGCGCGTGCCAGCCTCGTGGCAGAGCCGCCTCACCAGCTGGCCTACAACGTCCAGGTTTGTGTGCCTTTTCTTTGGTTTTTTGCTCCACGTGAGAGTGTGCAGAGTATTGTTCGCGTTTGTGCTCTCCTTCTACCTCCCTTCCACCCTCCTTCCCCCTTTCCCTCCATTGCTTCCCTCCCTCCTTCCCTCCTTCCATACTTCCCCCTTCCCCCCTCTTCCTTCCCTCGCTCCCTATCTCCCTGCCTCCTCCCCCCCTTCCTGCCCTGCCGCCCTTCAGGCGGAAGCAGCTACACTGCTGCCGCTCATTGCCACCACGGCCCTCCTGCGCCACTTCACAGAGCGCCACGAGTCATCGCGCACCCGTGCCGCCATGCTCTGCACATCACTCCCGGAGCCGCCCGGCCTGCCGTTGCAGCAGCAGCACACGAGCCAGTGCCTGCAGGCCCTCGCCCAGGCCATCCGTGTGTTCCTTGATGTAAGTTTTGGAAGTCCGTTTGCGATACGAGCCGTGAGCTTTGGGATGGATACACCCACAGGCGCCTGCCCTGTTTCTCACTGGAGCAGCAGCACACGAGCCAGTGCCTTCAAGCACTCGCCCAGGCCGTCCGCGTGTTCCTTGATGTGAGTTCTGTGAGGCCGTTTATGTGCACAAGACGAGCCATGAGCTTTGGGATGCACACGTTAGCACCAGCCAGAGCTGCCTGGCTTGACCCGCACTGGAGCAGCAGCACACGAGCCAGTGCCTGCAGGCCCTCGCCCAGGCCATCCGCGTGTTCCTTGATGTGAGCCCATCGTTTGTCAGTGTCAAGCCGTTTTCATGCTCTTTTGCAGCCATGCTGTCATGCTGCCATGCTTGTGTGCAAGCAGGAGAGCCAAGTCGCACTGACCACCCTTCACTTTCGTTGCACGCATCTATGCCTTCTAAGTATCCCATGCTCCCCTGTGCCACCGCACTCCACCCCTCCCATGTGTCTACCAGAACACAGCCATGCTGCTATGCAAGCTGGAGAGCCAGTGTGAGAGCCACGGCATAAGGCTGCTGGAGCTCAAGCGGTGCATTCAGGTATGGAGGGAGTGGTGCAGCTGGGTATACAATGATGCAGTTGGTATCTATTAGTGGGTCAGATATAAATAAGTTGTTTCAACTATGAACTGTCATGGTCAGCTCGCTGTTTGTTTTAAAAATGTTCTTTTTGCTCACTGTTCCCCAACGCATAGTGCGTGGTGCTTGTGATGTCAACCTGAATGCCCCGCGCCATGCTTGTTCTCGTTCTGAAACCTCCCCTTTCTTTGCAAAGCAGCCCTTAGTGTATCAGAGTGAGGGAGGGCAGCAAGTGTGCATGTGCCTGGATCGTACCACTGAGTCTCTTTCTCCACGCATTCCCACATGCAAACCCCCCAGTGTCCCTCTGTGTGCTTCCCGTGTAGCTCAAAGCAGCCGTATGTGTATTAGAGTAAGGGGGGGCAACAAGTGTGCGTGTGTCTGGATAGTGCCTCTGAGATTCTCTCTCCTCGCCTTGCTGCATGCAAACCCCTTAATGCCCCTCTGTGTGCTGCCATTTAGCCCATAGCAGCCGGAGTGAGGGAGCAGCAAGCATGAGTGTGACTGGATGTTTCCAATCTCTCACTCCATGCATTGCTGCCTGGCACCCTCCCCCCCACTTTCCCCCCACCAAATGCCCCTCTGTGTTCTGCCCCTCAATCCATAGCGTATGAAGTGAGGTTGCTGCTGACGCCCACAGTAAGAGGGGCGGAGGATTTCTGAGTCGACTCGAACACCAATGCTTCCCCACTCCCCCTGAATGCTCCTCTGTGTGTTGCCGTGCCCCGCAGCCTGTAGCGGACGGAGTGAGGGTTCTTGAGCCCATCGTGAGAGGGTTGGAGGATTTCTGAGTCGACTCAAAAGCCAATGCTTCCCCCCTCCAATTCTTCTCTGTGTGCTACTGTGCCCCACAGCCTGTAGCAGACGGAATGAGGGTTCTGGAGCCCTTCGTGAGAGGAGTGGAGGATGAAGGGTGGGGATCCACCGAGGTTCTTGACATGCTGCATGCAGCGGTATGCAATGGTTTGCAGTGGTATGCAATGGTTTGCAGTGGTATGGAACATCGTACAGCGGTTTGCAACGATATACAGTGGTATACACTGATTTACAACAGTATGAATGGTTTACTGCTGTATCCATGGGCTGGGCTTGATGCATGCAGTGGTATGATGAAGAGAGCGGTTTGCAGCAGTATGCAGTGGTACAGTGCTATGCAGAGAGTGCTTTACAAATTACACCTACTTCAAGTAAAGGATTTTCCTTGTTCGCTCCCTTCTCGTTCTCTCCTCTCCCATTCCACCCATTCCCTCCCATCCCACATCTAACCCCCGTCCCGTCCGACTCCCTTCCCTTCCACCCGCTTCCCTTCCTGCCCAGTCCACCCGACCAGATGCGAGGGAGGCGGAGGGTCTTATTTCCTTTCTGCTGCACGCTACATGCGCCCCCTATCTTCACCTCCTCTCCTCATATGTTGTGTTGTGGCACCCTTCCACCCACTCTTCCCTTCCCGTCCCTCCCAGTCCACCCGACCAGATGTGAGGGAGGCGGAGGGCCTCATTCGCTTTGTGCTGCAAGCCTCTTGCGCCCCCTACCTTCACCTCCTCTCCTCGTACGTGTCACTTCTGCACCTCCTTTTACCCCATTGTGTTGTGGTTTTCTTACCTCACCTCACATGCACCCCCTTCCATGTTCGTTGCAACCTCCTTTCTGTCATCTCTCACGTACGCCTATCTTTAACTCCTCTTCAGATTCTATATTCTAAGTTATCTCTCTGTTTCCCAGTTCTGTAGTGTCACATCCTCTCTCTTTACATCTCCTCTCTTCATCATGCATTACTCACATCACATGCGCATCCTTCTTCATCTCATTTCTTCTTGAGCGTTCAAGTTTCAAGTTCTATTTGTATCATGCCTGACCTGACTCCGACGTGACCCGACCTTATCGGACCTGACCCAACCTTATCCGACCCATCCCATCCCGGCCTGACCTGACCCGACCCATCCCGGCCCGGCCTGACCTAAGCTGACCTGTCTGTACTATCCCACCCTCTCTTACATTGAGCTCCTAACCCTGATATCACCGCAGCTGCTGTTAGTTTCATTCTTGGCCCCACCCTCCTCCCTACGCCACCCCTCTCCTTTCTTCTTCCCCCCCCCCCCCAGGTGGATGCAGGAGGGCAGTCTGGAAGACGACATTCACGGCGAGTTCTTCATTTCCTCATGCACCACTGCTTCTGCAGATGCACACACAGCTACCACTGATGCTGATGCTGAACCCACCAATTCCACCGCGCCTGCCACGGGGCAAGGGGAATGGCGGGGTGCAGAGGGGTGGGAAGGGGCGAAAGTGGAAGGGCAGCGGTTTGTAGTGCGGTGCGATGCGGTGCCGGTGCTGTTCCGGTCGGTGGCTGACGATGTGCTGGCCACGGGGCAGCTGGTGCATGCGCTGAGGGAGCATGGGTACTTGAAGCAGGTGGGTGGGTGGTGTGGGTGGGGTGCAAGGAGGTGGAATGTGGTGCCGGTGCTGTTCCAGTCGGTTGCTGATGATGTGCTGGTGACAGGGCGGTTGGTACATGCGCTCAGGGAGCATGGGTACTTGAAGCAGGTGGGTTGGGGTGGGTGGGGTGCAGAGAGGTGGAATGAGGTGCGCGCATGGGGTGTGCTGGCCACGGGGCAGCTGGTGCATGTGCTCAGGGAGCATGGGTACTTGAAGCAGGTGGGTGGGTGGGTGGGTTACAGTAGTGGTTGCGGTTGAGAGGGCACAGTGGTTACGGGGACCAAACGTTTTCCTTTCTTCCCACCCTCACATCACAGGTAATTCCCTCAGAAGGAGAGGGAAAACAAGCTCAGATTCAGCCGGGCAGATGAAAGGAGAGAACTCAAGCCTTACCCTCCCACCCCCCTCGTCACATTGTAGCTGATACTTTCGAAGGAGAGGTGGCACAAACACAAATGTAACTGGGCAGTTTGGTTGACGAGGAAACGATATAAGTCCATTCTTCCCCTCACAAAAAACTTTCTCCTCCCTCCTTTCTCCCTCACATTGCAGCTGATACCCTCGGAGAAAGAGGTGGAGCAGCCACGGATGCAGCTGGGCAGTCTAGAGGAGAGCGTGGGTGCACGCACGCAGGCAGTGCAGCAGACGATGATAGACCTCACGTTGAACAAGGTAGGTAGGGTAGTGGTGCATGCGATGCTGCTGGAAGGAGTAGGGTGCATGAGAGGAGAGCTTGGGTGCGTGTTCACAGGCAGTGCAGCAGACAATGCTATTCTATGCTTCCACGTGGTCATTAAGTCTGCGCGCTCCGAGTTCTCTGAGCATGGGTGGTGGGGAAGTGGCGCTTTTTGCCCATAAATCAACAATTTCGCCATCCGCTGTTTGTCTTCCCGCCCCTGCCCTCACCCACGCCCGTTTTTCCTCCCTGAAAACAGAGCCACCTTCTTGGGCATTTACTTACCATCAGACGAGTGCTCCTGCTCTCCCAGGTACACCTCATTCTCGTTATAATTGTCAACCATTCAGTTAGTCCGTTTGATTTTCAAGTCCCCCACTTTGTTCAGCCATTTTTTACACGTCTCAAGTCTTAATGTTTCGTGATATCTTGCCAATCCATCCATCCTTCCCATCCATCCATCCTTTGCCCTATTTCTCACCCTCTGCCCTTCACGCTCACCTCTCTTTCTCTCCTTCACGCTCACCTCTCTCTCTGCCCTTCACGCTCACCCTTAAAGCCAGGGTCTCACGTACTACAAGTGCTTTGCAATTGTTGGTGAAAGTGTGGCTTTGATTGGTTGGCGAGGTGTAAGGTTCGAAGTGGGGTGAAGCGAGGGGTGCGAAGCGAAAGTAAATCGCTGGGGGCAACCGAACCATCTAGGCTTGGAAACTTGGTTCGGAGCCAAACCTAAAATGCCCCCAACTCATCGAAAGTCTCGAGTACCCAAAAGTGTTGTGCAATTGCTTTTGGGGCAGTGACGCAATCTGAGTTTCCAACCCAACCAGAGACAACTTCGCCAGCACTAACTTGGTTACCTAGCTTCAAGTGCTTTGCAGTCGATGGCTCCTTAGCTTACATGAGACCCTGGCTTTAAAGGCGGACTCCCTTTCAAACTTCACGGCACTGGCAGGAAAGTAGAGGAGTGGAGATCTGCAGGCCAGCCGTGCTTATCATGTGTCCGTCCTTGCGACAAGCTTCATCAAGCCTTTCTTGACTGCTCTTCACTCTCAGCCAACCCTCACCTCACCTTCACCCCACCAGGTGGACTTTCTGTCGGTCGGACTTCATGGCACTGGCAAGCGAGCAGCAGAGCTTAGCCAATCCTTGTCACAAGCTTCATCAAGCCTTTCTTTGACTGCTCGTACCCTCAACCGTCACCTCACCTTCACCTCACAAAAAGTTGGCCTTCTTTACTTTCTAATCTGCCCGTCCTTGTCACCCTCATCCTCACCCCCAGTCACCGGGTGGGCGAACCCCTATTGGACGCCAGAGCATTCGCAGGCAAGGAGAGGAGCTCTGCAAGCCATTCGTGCTTATCTTGTACCCGTCCTTGGCACGGGCTTGATAAAGCCTTTCCTGACTCTTCACCATCACCCTCACACCCTCCCCACCGTCCCCACCCACCACCACGCGGATTTCCTGTCAGACTTCATGGCACTTGCAGGAGCGGAGCTCTGCACACTACCCGTGCTTATCATGTGCCCATCCTTGGCACGGCACGGGCTTCATCAAGCCCTTCCTGGTCCCTCTTCACCCCAACCCCCCATTCCCCTCACCTCCCTCCCCACAGGCGGATTTCCTGTCGGACTTCATGGCGCTGGCAGGCGAGGAGCTCTGCAAACCGGCCAGCAGGGCGTCTCAGGCTCGCATTGATGTGAGCGTGCACCATGCCCCATGCCCCATGCCCCATACACCATGCCCCATGCACGTTGCACGATGCAATGCACGATGCATGTTGCGCCATACAAAATGAGGGTTCCCAAGATGTAAGAATGAAAGGGTATTTCCATCATCCCACTGTCATTTAGTGTATGAATGTAAGGGTATCCTCATGTCTTAACTCCTGAAGAGACCCCAACTGCGATCACAATAACTCCTGATTGTCTCCTTACGCCATCCAAGCCATATTCTCCTCATCTCGTCCCACCCCTTCTTTCCCCCCAGCTCTCACTAGGTGCCTCTCTCCGCGCCTCCACAGCAGCCACAGACCCTATTTGTTATCCGGCCTTTTGCACATGTGTGACCTTTCATTATCCTAACCCTATTCTCCTCATCTGTTGCCCACCCCTTCTGACCCCAACTGCGGTCTCAAACACTCCTGCACGTCTCCTTACTTACCCTATCCAATCCACATTCTCATCTCCTCCCACCCCTTCTTCCCCCTCCAGCTCTCTCTAGGCGCCTCCCTCCGCTCTTCCACTGCAGCCTCAGACCCCAACTGCGACCGCCTCTCCGCACGCCTGGTGAGTAAGGGTAGATGGAGGGTAGATGGATGGATGGACGGACGGACGGACGGACGGACGGACGGGCGGACGGATGGATGGATGGATGGACAGATATTCCCCTGCGCGCATGTGAGCGCGTGCGTGCGGTCGTGGGTGGGTGGCGTGGCATTCTATAGTTATAAGAAGATATTGACCGTCTTGCATTCAAGGATGTCCATGGAAGAGCATGGGAGACGTATTTCTCACTTCGTGAGGGAGCAAATCTTCCTCACGAGGGAACCTTTCCGCAGAGTCTTGAGGAAGATCTTCTCCCTCACGAAGTGAGAAATACGTCTCCCATGCTCTTCCATGAACATCTTCGAATGCAAGAAGGTCCAAATCTACTCTCGCACGACGTCCATGCACAATTGAGAAGCCCCTCTCTTACCCAACCCCACCCTCCTCCCCTAGCGTTCTTCCCATGCCACCACAGCACACATCCGCCTCACATCTCCTACATCTGTTTAGTATCATGCAATTGTACAAGCCCTGCACTCCTCCTTTCCTCAACACCACACTGCGTTCCGATATCAATGCACCTCCTTACAGGTTCCCACTCACCCTTCGTTCATGTCCCCCAATGTCTCCCCATCCTATTCCAACCAGGTGCTTGCTGACTCACCCAGTCCCTCCCACACATCACTTCAACAACAACCCCTGCATTCACAATCACCGCACTCACAGCCCACACCAGCACAGCCACCACAGTCACATCTGCAGCAGTCGCGGGAGAGCATGGACGGTGCAGATCTGCTGAGCAGTCTGCAGGCCTACGAGGAGTATGAGGACCTGCTGGGTGATGATGCACATGGTGACTCTCTTGCTGCTCATGCTGCTGCTGCTGCTGCTGCTGGCGGTGGTGAGGGGGATGACAGGCACCTGTACAGCAACCCTCTGTCGCTGCTGCCCCAGGTCACCCCTGTTCGGCCAATCAGCCCTGCAGCTGTAGCGGCAGCGCAGGCACCAAGGGGGGAACGGGCTGAACGGAGGGGAGTTTCAGGGGAGAGCGGATGGGAGGCTATCTACATCGACTACCAGGTGGGTCCTTTTTTCTTGCCTTCTCCTTATTTTTAGTTGACTCGAGAATCGCCCCATCACACGTGGACGGGAGGCTATCTATATCGACTACCAGGTGGGTTTTTTTGTTTTTTAGTTGACTCGAGAATCGCCCCATCAGACGTGGATGGGAGGCCGTTTATGTCGACCACCAGGTGGGCTCGGTTCGGCTTTCGGCTCGGCTCTAGCCTCTACCACATGCAACAAGCCCATCCGTTTTATTCTATTCAGAAGCTACAGTACTCCACACCACCTACCAGCTGGGCGCAGCTGTATTGATGGGTGTTGCAGGGAGTTTTTGAGAATTCTCAAAAACTCCCCGCAGCTGTATTGATGGGTGTTGCGTTGCCCCATCCTCCCTGCTCACATACTAGCATGTTGCTCAAATACAAGTGAAGCTTCTGCTTCCTGCTCTCTTCACTCCCCTTCCCTTCACCGACCTCACCTCACCTGTTACCGTGTGTTCTTCCTTCTCCACTCTCTGTAGGTCCCCTGGGCAGCATCCGTGGTGGTGCCACCTTACCGCCTCCTCCGCTTCCTGCTTGCTTCACTCCCGTTCCATCCACCTGCCTCTCCCACACCTGCCTCTCCCACACCTGCCTCTCCCACACCTGCCTCTCCCACACCTGCCTCTCCCACACCTGCCTCTCCCACACCTGCCTCTCCCACACCGCTCGCCCATCTGTTCTTCGTTCCCCTCTCACTGCAGGCCCCCTGGCCAGTATCTGCGGTGGTACCCCCATCCGCCCTGCAGGGTTACAACCGCCTCTTCCGCTTCCTACTCGCCTCACTCCCATCTGTAACCCACCTGTTGCCCACCTGTTCTTCCGTCCCCATTCATTACAGGCCCCTTGGCCAGTATCCACGGTGGTGCCACCATCCGCCCTGCAGGGTTACAACTGCCTCTTCCGCTTCCTGCTCGCCTCACTCCCATCTGTCACCCACCTGTTTCCCACGTCTTCTTCCTTCCCCACTCGCTGCAGGCGCCCTGGCCAGTATCTGCGGTGGTGCCCCCAGCCGCCCTGCAGGGTTACAACCGCCTCTTCCGCTTCCTGCTTGCCGCCAGGCGAACCCACCTGCACCTCGCCCTCGCATGGTCCGCCCTGCAGGTAATGTTGATGATGTAGGGTCGTGCGTACGAAGTGGTGGTGATGGTATGTGCAGGACGAAGGCCATGCTGTGGGGTGGTGGATGCTGGCACAGGCTATTTGCAGTAGAGTGGAGTGGCATGCACACAGATAATCACAAGACACTCAAGGTGGTTTTGAGTCTACTCAAAACCACCTTGGCTGCAGTGGAGACTTCTTCCAGTGATGGAGAGTTTCGGATAACTGGAAGGATATAGGCGCACATTATTATACACACAAGTTAGTCCTAGCAGCACCCGCCGCTGCCGCACAAGAGTAGATTTTTACGTTGCACCAGCTGCACTTCTAGCAGGCTGCACTGCTGCTGCCACCGCTCCGCTCTGCCCCACACACACTGGCAGCTGATCGGGTGGCTGAAGGTGCAGGGAGCAGTGCTGTAACACGTGCACTCATGAGTCAACTCAAAATACCCCATTGCCCCTCCAAACACACACGCACACACACACACACACACACACACACACACACACACACACACACACACACACACACACACACACACACACACGCACACCACTCGCACTCCCAGCTGACGCGGGGACTGAAGGTGGAGGGGACAATGCTGCAGCGCGTGCACTGGCTGCGGCATCGCATGGCGTGTGCTGTCACTGCCATCCTCGACCACGTCGCACATGCGGTGGGAGTGTTGTGTTGCTGTCCTGGTTGACACGTCATACATGCTGTGTGCATGCATGCGTGCATGAGTCCGTGCAGTGGCTGCGGCATCGCATGGCGTGTGCTGTCAGTGCCATCCTCGACCATGTGGCACATGAGGTGGGTGGGTGGGTGGTGAAGGGGGAGGAGGGAGACGGGGGGAGGGGTGTGTGTGCGTGTGCATGTGCGCGTTTGTCGTTCCATTGTGGTTCAGGCATCGATTGGCGTGTGCTGTCACTGCCGTTCTTGACCACATGGCACGTGCGGTGCGTGTGTGGGAGTGTGAGTGTGTGTGCATGCCTGCTGCATGCACGCGCGCCTGTCTTTCCATCTTTCCATTCTGTGGTTGACACGTGCCATCGACCTTGTTCTCTTTTCCTCTGTCTACTTGGTTTGGTTTTCGATTGCACTCTTAAAAGCACTCCCAAAGACACTCTATGAGTCTTCCCATATTTCGAACCACCTGATGCCTTCCCATACCCAATGAGTGTTCCACCATGTAGGCTCATTATTCCTTTCGTTCGCTGCTCTGCTGTGTGCTCTTTCCGTTTCAACCTCCTTTCCCCTTCCCATTAATTCCCATGCCCTCATGTTTTTTCCCCAAAACACGCCACCCTCCCCCACTCCCCCCCTCTCCCCCGCTCTTTCTCCCAACGCCCTCAATTGATTAGCCCTTCATTTGATCCCTCTTCCCCTCGTGATACCTTTCCCTTTCCCTCCCTTTCCGTCCTGCTTCCTCTGCTCATAATACCGTCAGGTGATAAGCCCCAACTTCGATCTCATGACATCCAGACTGACCAAGGCTACGTCCTTCCACCAGGTGGCTGTCTCTCTTCCGCCCACCTCCATCCTCACCTCACATCGCTTAATGAGCACAAGAGAGCACATTCTCATCTCCCTCCTCCATCGCTTCATCTTCATGCTTTGACCACTCTGGATATGCCGCCCTGGTGCGATTCGCAAGAAGCAGGGCAACAACTAGTCCCAATTCTTCCCCCGCCCTATATCTTCTGGTTGCGGAAACTTTACAAAGCTATCCGTCGCATCTCCTGAAGAAAGTAGCCAATTGCAGCGTGCGCAATTCTCCTGCCATGCGTGTCAGTCTGTACAGAACTTCGTTTCTCCTGAAATAAGTAGCCAACTACAATTTCTTCTGCATTCTCCTGTCTGCCTGCCTGCATACAGCTTGTGATGGAGCACCAATCGTTTCTTAACACGTGTCTCTCAGAGGGGCTACTGGATTCCTGCCCGCAAATCCGAGAGGTGTGTAGCGCCTGCCTGCCTGCCTGCCTGCCCGCCTGTTTGCTTCCATCTTTTATGTCAGCTCCCTTTTTTGTCAATATTTTTTTTTGTGTGTTTCTGTTGCAAACGTCTTTTATTTGCGTCCTGGTCTCGGTCCTCCTGGTCCTTCTTGGTTATGCGTCTGCCCTCTATTCAACACATATCTTCCTGCTCTGGTGCCTTCGTTGTTTCATTGTTCGTTGCTTATGCTGTATTTGACCGAACTTTTCATAATAAGCCATTGTTGCCAATAAGAAGAAGTTAATTCAACTAAACGTTATTTGCCTACTCAATTGCGAAATTTCTTGCCCCTCTCTCTCTGTTGCACACCACCTCCCTGCAGAAGCTTTCCTCCCTCCTCTCCATCTCGCTTCGCTTCGCCACCACAGTCAGCACCACCATCCACACAGCCTCTTCTCTCCCGGGTCTTGATTCGTCATCTTCATCAGCAGCAGCAGGAGGAGGAGGAGGATGGGGAGGAGGAAGGGGGGGTTATGGGGTGGAGGGTAGAATCAGTGGAGGCGAGCTGGCTGATTATGCGTACGGCGATGCCACATCAGATGCCAAGGGACGGGCGGCGCGGGCGGCATTCCGTCGGCGGTTAGCGGCGGAGGAGCTACAGCGGGGTTTGGAGGGCGAGGGGTTTGTTGAAGAGATGAGGTTTGTGTGGGGAAAGGGGGTTGGGGAAGGAGGGGAAGGGGGGTAAAGAGGGGGAATTGAAGGGGTTTGACGGAGACACTTTTGGGACTTCTCAAAATTGGAGAGGGGTTTGAATTGAAGGAGACACTGACTTTGCAATTAACGTATCCCCGCCTCTCTCCATCTTGTCTCCTGCTCTCACCATTTTACCATCTTCCCATCTCCCCATCTCCCCATCTCCCCATCTCACCATCTCCCCATCTCCCTGCTCTCCCCAACTCACCCTCTTCCCATCCCGCCATCCCACCAGCGCCATGCAGACGGCCTTCGCAGCCTCTCTCCGGGCCACCACTGCTACCATCGCATCTGCCCTGCGAGACCATCCTGTGCTGCTCTCACTGCACCTCGCCCTCACCGCCGTTGCCAAAGGCCTTCCTTAGAAGCTTCTTTTGAGTCAGACTCAAACGAGTGCAACTGCTGCCATAGCATCTGTTCCCAAGGCCATCCTCTGCTGCTCTCCCTGCACCTCCCCTCTCTGCTGTTGCCAAAGGCCTTCCTTGGAAGTTCCCCTTTTTGTCCTTGAGGTGGTGGAAGTGGCAGCTGTAAAGCACGTGGAGATGTGACATGACAACATGACTAACCCGAAGTATGGTTTTGCCGCATGAGAGTATTGTGCTTGAATAATAGCAATATGCCTTGGTTACCAATGTATAAAGAGACTCTTCAGTCCTAATAACCAATCCTGTATGTGTTCTTATCGGTATCAATGGATGTTGAGACCCCCTAAGCATCAGAACTTTACAACCGCTTTGCTCAGAATGCTAAACCTATTTCCTACCACGCTTTTGTTAAGCCTATTCATCGGTCCTCATCGAGAACGCGTGTTTTTTGTAATGAGTATATTTTGACGCGTTCAATTCCGCCGCCGCATCTGACGGAAACCGCGATCCAAAAATTCTCCGTGACGGGTTTCGCTTACTGGACAGAGCTAAAAAATGTAGATTAGGCTGCGCGAGCAATCGCTCGTTTCGTTTATCTTCGCGGATTTCGCAACCCCCAAGATTCTTGGTGGCCCGACTTCACCGGATAGACTAGTGACCCCAAGCAGTTGGGGCATCTTCACGCCAGCGGTCATCGCACACCAACGAAAACCTCCTGCGAGCATCCAGAGACTTAGTAAACTGAGCTGAAACACAGAGCTTAGCTGAAACTCCGATTTTTTCGCCTTTGTACTCAGGTCGACGATAACAGCGCGATGGATATTGTCGATGCCCCCCCTGCTCGCCATTTCCACAGACCGTCCAGGGGAAGCGACCCGCTTCACTCGTTTTTCAACTTTGACACGACTTCGGACTTGCCCTTGTGGCGGGGGTGTTATGCCTGCTTGGGCCTGTTACTGGGGTACAATCTCCACGGAAGCGCGCGAAAATTGCCTGCGAGTTACCTGGGATGAAAGGGCCGCTGAAAACGAATATTGCTTGACTTGTAACCGATTGACCCTCGCAAGGCCCTCCCGATCGCGTTTCTAGCTCAGAACTCCATAGCCGACCGCGGAACCTACTCGTTCATTCGTCCTAGGGGAAGTCATCGCGATCCACAACCAATGGCATTCCCCAAGCCCTGGCGCAAACGCCTCTCCGATTCGGCCCCAGTTTATCCGCCATGCACTGCCCTCGCCCTTCGGATTCGTATTAAACAGGCCTCTTCGTCGCTGGTAAAGCACGACTTCAATCCTCCGTTCTCCAAAGGTCTAATTCCACTAGATAACTACAGCTACCACAACTGCTACTCGTAGAACCTCTTTTCCTGATAATGGCGCGTCTCAGTGGAATTACGGCTCTCTATCTCCTGCTAGCCGTTGCCCTCGTTTTCTCAACATATGCCTCGACCGCTGTTGCCCAAGACGAGAGCAAGACTCGCGACGGTGAGTCCCCCCCTCCACCTTCCCCTCATTATAAAATGCCTTTCCTGTTCTCTTTGTCTTTCCCCCTCATCATATAATGCCCTCCAGGTCTCTTTGTCTTGACGGCGTTCGTCGTTCGTTGCTTCTAATCCCCGACCCCTTTTCGAGTGGCGCGCAGGAAAATATTACTGTTCTGTGGTGAATGGTTGGAGTTCGGGTCATTGCGAGAAAGATTGGGGTGGAAAGTGCGCCACGATTCGTGCTAAGTATAAGAAGAGTGCGAACCAAGTAAGTAATCTGTCACCCACGGGTGAAGGCATGGTCTTGCCACACGGATTGCATCAGATCATGTTCTGAAAAAATCATCAGATTCCGTTAATTATCATGGCTATCACATTTGGATTTAACCTTATGAATTCCCTCATGTCATCACATTCTTCTTACGACCGTCCCATCGCATCACAATCTGTTTACTAACCCACGCCATTTCGTCACATCCTAAACGCCATTTTCGCCACATCCTAAACGCCATTTCGTCACATCCTGCATGACCCCCACTCATGTTGCAATGACTTTTGAGACGTCTCAAAAGCCCACTATGTCATGTTGCAATGTTTGTTCCCTTCCCAGTGGGCAGTGCATTCCTTGGCCTCTGGAGGTGTATATACTGGGGGGGGTGCTGATCCCCACATCACATCGATTGTGACTCTTCCGTTGCTTGTGGTAGTTCGTGCACGTATGTGGGTGGTGACTCGTGTGAGCGGTTGACATGATAAATATTCTTGTATCCATCATCCTTTGCTTACATTGCAGTTGTAATGCTCCTTGTATACTATTGTTGCATGATTATGACTTGAGATTATTGTGACCATGACCTCATGCGTGGAAGAAGTATCACCTCATGCACTCCGCCTTCACACATGTGCCTGAGCACACGGCTTTTGAGACGTCTCAAAAGTCAAGTACCACCTCATGCACTCCGCCTTCACACATGTGCCTGAGCACACGGGCACCATGGGAACATGGGCTCGAGATCAGGCGGCTTTCAGTCGTTGGTGGATTGTATGATTAAATCTTTGTCTCGTTCCTGCCCACACAATTCCCAAATAGTTTCGCCTCATCATCCTCATTCCCCTCATCATCCCTATTCCCCTCATCATCCTCATTCGTCTCATCATCCTCATTCGCCTCATCATCCTCATTCCCCTCATCATCCTCTTTCTCCTCATCATCCCCATTCTCCTCATCATCCCCATTCCCCTCATCATCCGCATTCTCCTCATCATCCTCATTCCCCTCGTCATCCTCATTCCCCTCATCATCCTCATTCCCCTCATCATCCTCATTCCCCTCATCATCCTCATTCCCCTCATCATCCTCATTCCCCTCATCATCCTCATCCCCCTCATCATCCCCATTCCCCTCATCATCCCCATTCCCCTCATCATCCTCATTCCCTTCATCATCCCCATTCGCCTCATCATCCCCATTCCCCTCATCATCCTCATTCTCCTCGTCATCCCCATTCCCCTCATCATCCCCATTCCCCTCATCTTTCTCATTCTCCTCATCATCCTCATTCGCCTCATCATCCTCATCATCCTCACCAGACGCAGAAGCAAGAAGGAGAGGCATAGGTGGGCGAGGTAAGGTGCATAGGGAGGAGGGGGAGGAGGAGGTTGATGAAGATCAGAGCCAGTGGAGGCAAGCTCTCCAATTATGCATACGGCGATGCCACGTCAAATGCCAAGGGACAAGCGGCACAGGCAGCATTCCGTCGGCTGTTAGTGGCGGAGGAGTTGGCACATGGTTTGGAGGACGAGGGGTTTGTCAGAAAGATGTCACGGCACAAACGTGTACATTCTGGACATGTCATGTCATGCCCGTAATGTACCCTCAGTGAAAGGTGTATATAATTTTTATTACTAAATCTCAGACCATCCATGCATCATAGTTTCATGTCGACTCTGCTGAGAATGTTTTTCCTTGTTTCCAAGTTCGTGTTTTACATGCATTTTGGAATCTGGTTCAGGTTCTCTGAATCTTGTTTTACCTAGAGTTCTGTGCAGTTTTTATATGGAGCTGGTAGTGCAAACTTAATAGCGGGTCGTTATTGTTCTTCGGTTCACTCGCCGCATCTCACGGGGAACGTGATTTTCAACGAGTGTGACGCGTTCGAGCTGGGACGTATTCAGCAGTCAGCGGCAACCGAACTCGGTTTTTGTTCATTTTCACAGGTTTCGCGACCTTCACGTTTCAGGCTGGCCCAATTTTTTTTTTATATATTTTTCATGTGATCGAGTAGTGTCCCCCTAACAATGTGGAGTGGAGCGACTTCATAGCCTCGGGACTCTGGCCAATATATTCCTCCACCGAGCATCTTCAAAATTCCTCAGCGAAACTTTAATCAGAAATTTACGGCACTGCAACAGTATTTTTCTGAGGTCGAGCACAACAGCGCTGCTGAGTACACAGGACGCTGCTAAGGTAGGTTTTGCTACAACCCCCAAACATCCTGCTTCGATCTTTTTCTGCTTCGACCTTTGCTTCCGTGGATAGCTGCCCTTGTGGCGGGTGGAGGGGTGGTCTGTTACAGGAGCACGGAACCCTCGCTGGTAGCGCGCTAAACTTGGCGAAATTTGCTTGCGAGTTACTTGAACTGGCGAGCTGCTGGATTGGGACTGTGAACACGAACTCCGCTTGAAAACTGATTGACCTCGCAGAGCTCTCTGGATCTTGTTTCTGCCACAAAGCTCCATAGAAACCGCGGAAACTACTTGTTCATTGGTCCTACTCTTAGTCATCGCGAAAATCTACTTGTTCATTCGTCTTACTCTTAGTCATCGCGATCCACGACCAATGGCATTCTCTCAAGCCGTGGTACAATCGCCCATCCGATTCGGCCCCAGTTTATCCGCCATGCACCGCGGAACCTACGTGTTCATTGGTCCTACGATGCCTAAACCAATCAGATTCCCTAAAGCCGTGACGCAACCGTCCCTCTCATTTGGGCCCGGTTATCCGCCATGTACTATCCTCGCCCTTCTGTTTTATATTTAAACGTCGTATTCGTTGATGGTAAGCACGCCTTCTATCTTCGCCTCTCCAAGTCTGATTCAACCAGATCACTAGAGCTACCACGACTACCAATAGTACCTCTTTTCCTGAGAATGGCGCGTTTAAGCGGAATTGCGGCTCTCACTCTCCTGCTAGCCGTTGCCCTCGTTCTCTCAGCGTATGCTTCGAAAGCGGTTGCCCAGCAGGTGGAGCGAACTTCGGATGGTAAGTTCCCCCCTCCTCCTTTTCCCTCATCTAGTAATGTATCCTGAATTCTTCCGCATCACGGCGTTCGCTATGCCTGCCAATCAGTCACAGTTGGGAGATTTCGTTTATCTGCAAGGCTGTTGTTGCTGCTGACTAAAAAACTACCCCGAATCCCCGAATTCTGTCGTTCTTTCGAGTGGGCCGCAGGTAAATATTCGTGTGCTGATGTGAGGAAGGGCCAAGACACGTTTCTATCCCAGTATTGCAAAACCAACTTCTCCTTATGCGACTCGTCGACATACAATTACTATGACAAAGATTGCAAACGAGCCCCTGATAGTAAGTACGCTGCCACCCATGGGACACTAATGATGGCTTAATGATGGCATAATGGCGACTACATCCTACTTGCCCTGCATCATGTTGCCACATCATGTTGCCACATCATGTTGCCACATCATGTTGTCACATCATGCCAATGTCTCAAAAAGCAATCTAGTTGATTCTTTTGTGTCACAGACTGTCGCAATTCAATACCTCATCATTTTTCCTGTTTTCGGCCCTCATGCTGTCACATCTTCTCACTGGCCATGGCATCAAAATCTGGTTACTAACCCTCGCCTTTCCCGTCACATCCTGACTGACCCCCAACGTTTATGCCCTTCTCAGGTGGAAGTACCCTCGGTTTTTGGTTTAAAAGGTTCTACTATCAGCTGAAACCTTGAAAAGCTCCAGGTCATGACATGAGTGGGGGCAGCGGCGGTGTTCATCACATTGTTTAGATCTAGGGTTTCGGGTTGAGAGGAGACGCATGCGTTGCTTGTAGAAGTAGTTTCTGTGGTGACTCTTGAGCGGTCTGACTCGCAAATGCGTGTATCCATCATGCTTTGTTCACATCGCTGTTGTGTGTAAACCATTGTTACATTATACTCTTGAACAACACAAGCTAACATCAGAGTGCAATATTCATGCATTTCCATGATACGGTAGTTTCATATCACCAAAATGTTACTGTCCAAAACCTGGCCCAAAAATGGTAGAGTCTGAGAGCGAATCAGGTTGAGCTGACGGGCTTGGGGAGTTGGGCTCGAGCACACAAGTCTGGGAGAGAATGATGAGAATTGGTAGCTTGTGGTAGTTTGGTGTTTCGATATTGAAGTGTCGGAGTTTGGTAGCTTGTGTCGGAGCTTCGCTTTGGGTCACAGTCAGATCAAGGTTGTTCTTTTTCGCTCAACACCTTACCCAACCGTTTCAGACCGCTCATACATCAGATCTTTCCTAGGCTCTGCCTGGAGGGACCTCCTTTGCTCATTTTACTGCTGGTTGCTCGTTCCTCCAATCAAGCCGTTCCGTCATCCGCGTCGCATCTCACAGTTGCTTCTGCGCCCCGGGCTTGTCTCAAAATTTTCCTGCTTTTACGATCGACGGAATAATTTCAGCCTTGTGCCCGCCACGTCACGCACGCGCACATGGACGAGGAGCAAGGCCAGCTCTCCGTCTTCCTAGCCTTTCGCGAGAAATGCGACGCGCTGGAAGCGGCGATCCGAGCTTTAAGTTCCAGAGATTCCGGTTCCGTTGCCGAATCTGCACAGTCGGGGATCAACAGCGGGGAAAGTAGACAACAGGTGGACGATGCAGGAAGCAATCAACGGTTCGGATTGAATGCGGATCAAGCGGCGGTGGCAGCGCTGCGCGCGGTGGAAGATATAGTAGCGCATTTTGCGCCGTCGGTCCCGCGGCGCGACGTGGAGCAGATGACGTCACGCGTGGCCGCGCTTCGCGCCAACTTGGAAACTGCCCGATCCGCCTCAAAGCCCAAGAAACGATTCGCCTTCTCGTCGAGAGGGCAGAAGAAAGCCTCTTCAGAAAATAAAGACGCCTCGTCCTCTCATAAATCTCGCGAGCAACCGACGCAGTCCCTGCAGCCAGTGGGTAGTTGCCAGGTGGAGCAGGAGGGCGACACGAGGAGAACGGGAATGGTGGCCTCCGATGTTGAGCCAACAGGGGCATCAGGAGGAGCCGTATCGGGAGGAACAGCGTCAGGAGAAGCGGCGGCAGGAACAGGAGCACCCGCAGCAGGAGGAGAATCCGGAGCAGCAGCGCTGGGAGCAGCAGGAGAAGTTGGAGCAGCCAAAACAGCAGGAGCGTCCGCCGAGGCTCCATCTTCCATCCCACCAATCAGCTCCGCGCACCCGTCCCTCTCCATCTCCCACCGCTCCCACGAGCACATTGAGATCTCGCCAGAGCAGCACAGACGCGGCGAGCTCACGCTGCAGCACCTCTCCCACTGCCACGTGTCTGTCCGCGGTGTCCTCTCCGCCGTCTTCCTCCGCCACGTGCGCGACTGCCACGTCATCCTCTGCCCGGTGTCAGGAGCCTGCCACGTGGAGGACGCGTCAGGGAGCACTGTAGCTGTCGCGAGTCATCAGCTGAGGATACACCAGACAGAGCGCGCCGATTTCTATGTCCGCACGCGCAGCAGGCCGCTTATAGAGCACTCTAAGGGTGTCAGATTCGCGCCTTATAGTAGGGAGTATGATGGGTTGGAGGCGGATTTTAAGGATGCTGACTTGGCGGTGGATGGAGGGCTGTGGGCCCACGTGGACGATTTTGGTTGGCTGCGTGCGGTGCCGTCGCCGAATTGGTCGGTTATTCCCGAGGAAGAGAGGAAGAGCTTGGCAGAGGCGTGAAGCTTTACATGTGCAGGAGGGGTTTGCATTGCAGATACGGTACGTCTTTTGAGGCACCTCAAAGGTTGGCTATTCCTGAGGAGGAGAGGAAGAGCTTGGCAGAGGCGTGAAGCTTTGCAGACTCATGGGGGCTTGCAGAGATGGTGAGGCTTCACAGGTGCATGGAGGTTTGCAGAGGTGGAAAAGCTTCACACATGGACAAGCATTTACCAAGGCATGAGTCTTCACGGAGAATGGGGTCTTGCAGACTTGTGAAGGCCAGTGCTGAAGGGTCAGGCAAAGTTGGAGAGATGTGGTGATGGTGGCGGTGAGAGGGAGGGCGAAAAGGAGGGGGGAGGTTGTGTGTGTTGTGCAGACTGCAGCAGTTTTCATTTCAGTGGCAGCAGGATTTGTTGAGGTGGTGAAATGCTGCAGGAGAAATCTGGTAGAAATGGTGAAGAAATGTACGGCCTCACAAACGAGCCACTTTGGGTATTCCGAGCCTCCACTTCGTGTCTTATCTGATGTATGACACGAGCTACGCTACGCACGCACCCTTAGTGACTGTATTCGTGACCCCACTTACCTAACCCGTAAAAATATCCGATACAGTGACCGTACGCGCTACTATTACACCAGTCATGTTATCTACCGTAGTCCCATGTCTCTTACAATTGGCATACCGTATTTTCCCTAAAAAATAGCTCAAGATGGTTTCCTTTCCTCCATTGGCAAACAAGATAAGCATGACAAAAAAGGGGTAATGAGCAGAGCAGGTTATCCACGCATGCTTACGCTTGAACAAACCAAAACTCGACTAACACAACAATGCTTGCACATTGCATCATTTTGCTTCGTCGTAACTTTCTCCTTCCACCTGTGCTCCATCCATCCTTTTCTTCTCCAGTAGATCCTTCCTCAGCTGCAGGCAGGCCCAGAGCCAGGGCCAGAGGCATTACGTATCCTTCACATTCCATTACTTTGCCTTATCATTACCCTCTCCCTCCACCTGTGCTCCATCCATCTTTTTCGTTTCCAGGAGAGCCTTCCTCAGCTGCAAGCCCAGAGCCAGGGCGAGAGGCGGAGGGACAGCGTTGCCGATCTGGCGATGCTTGGCCTGAATGTTTCCAGCAAAGCGGTACCAGTCGGGGAAGCCCTGAAGGGTGGGGGAAGGAGCAAGCATTGCAAACACATTGTGCTGTTATGCTGAAGCGGCAACCTCAGTTCATCTCAGTTAACAATCAAGATAGGGGACATTGCAAGGAGTGCTTCGGAAAACAAAATGTGTCGAGCAGGAACAAGACAGCCAGAGTGAGGATACTGCCTTCAGGAACGTGGGGATGAAACCTGCTCACCTCTTACCCCAGGCTCTCACACGCACACCGAGCCGCTCCCTACCTGCGATCTCGCGCACTCTCTGACGCTGACAATGCGGTCCTGCTCGGGGTGAAAGCACATGCCCACTTTCCCCATGGGCTGGGGGTCCGTCACGGATGTGGGGAAGTTGCCCGCCCAGTCCAGCCGCCCAAACAGCCCCTTCCAGTTGTTGTGGCGCTCCATGGTGTTGGGCAGACACCACGGGACCAGGTCTGCCTCGCGCCCATCTGACAGCCGCACCTGTGGTGTGAAAGAAGAAAGAAGAGGGAAGGCGAGTTCAAGGTACGACGCGAGACTGCAGTGCTGTAAAGTTGGCCCAAACAGCCCCTTCCAGTTGTTGTGGCGTTCCATGGTGTTGGGTAGGCACCAGGGGACCAAGTCAGCCTCACGATTATCGGATAAGCAGACCTGTGGTACGAAGGGAAGGGATGGAAAGGTAAGAAGGGTTAGTGGGTAAGAAAAGAATTTGCCCGCCCAGTCCAGCCGCCCCAACAGCCCCTTCCAGTTGTTGTGGCGCTCCATGGTGTTGGGTAGGCACCAGGGGACCAAGTCAGCCTCACGATTATCGGATAAGCGGACCTGTGGTACGAAGGGAAGGGATGGAAAGGCAAGAAGGGTTAGTGGGTAAGAAAAGAAGTTGCCCGCCCAGTCCAGCCGCCCCAACAGCCCCTTCCAGTTGTTGTGGCGCTCCATGGTGTTGGGCAGACACCACGGGACCAGGTCTGCCTCGCGCCCATCTGACAGCCGCACCTGTGGTGTGAAAGAAGAAAGAAGAGGGAAGGCGAGTTCAAGGTACGACGCGAGACTGCAGTGCTGTAAAGTTGGCCCAAACAGCCCCTTCCAGTTGTTGTGGCGTTCCATGGTGTTGGGTAGGCACCAGGGGACCAAGTCAGCCTCACGATTATCGGATAAGCAGACCTGTGGTACGAAGGGAAGGGATGGAAAGGTAAGAAGGGTTAGTGGGTAAGAAAAGAATTTGCCCGCCCAGTCCAGCCGCCCCAACAGCCCCTTCCAGTTGTTGTGGCGCTCCATGGTGTTGGGTAGGCACCAGGGGACCAAGTCAGCCTCACGATTATCGGATAAGCGGACCTGTGGTACGAAGGGAAGGGATGGAAAGGCAAGAAGGGTTAGTGGGTAAGAAAAGAAGTTGCCCGCCCAGTCCAGCCGCCCCAACAGCCCCTTCCAGTTGTTGTGGCGCTCCATGGTGTTGGGGCAGGCACCAGGGCACCAGGTCCGCCTCACGCCCATCCGACAGCCGCACCTGTGGATGATAATGAGGGTAAGGACGGGATACCAAGGAGAAGTCAGGTTACGGGAGTGAAAGTAAGCCGTCCAAACAGCCCCTTCCAGTTGTTGTTGAGTAGACACCAGGGCACCAGGTCTGCCTCGCGCCCATCAGATAGGCGCACCTGGTGAGGAACAGGGGGTTTGGGGTAAACAAGCAAGTGTGTAGGAACTGTGAATCCGCTCAAACAGCACCAGGACACCAGGTCAGCTTCACGACCATCAGATAAGCGGACCTGTGGTAGGGAAGGAGGGATAGGAAGAAGGGGAAGGCGGGTTAGGGGGAAAGAAAGGAAGTTCTATCCAGCCGCCCAAACAGCCCATTCCAGTTGTTGTGGCGTTCCATGGTGTTGGGTAGGCACCAGGGCACCAGGGGACCAGGTCTGCCTCACGGCCATTCAACAGCCGCACCTGATGTACAAGAGAGAGGGATAGGAGGGAAAGGTGGGACGAGGGTGCAAAAGGAGCCGCCCAAACAGCACGGGCTACTGTGGAAGGGAGGGGCATTGATGCTACATGCATGCACGGATGACGCTGCTGGTAACCCTATTTCAGTCACCCACTTCTCACCTTGATATCCGGCAGATCCCGCCAGTCCGCCCCTGGGCGCCTGGGGATGTGTTGGCAGCGTTTGAGGTTGAGTTCGTTCATGCGCTTGCACGTGTGGTCCAGTAGCCTGGCTTGCTGGGCTCTGATGCTCCTCTGGAACCACGAGGAGGGCTCGGACGAATACTGTGGGAGGGAAGAAGGAAGGGAGAGGGGGGGGAGGGGATGCGGGGGAGGGGAGGGAAGGGAGAGGAGGGGAGGGGAGGGGAGGGGAGGGGAGGGGAGGGGAGGAGAGGGGAGGGGAGGGGAGGGGAGGGGAGGGGAGGGGAGGGGAGGGGAGGGGAGGGGAGGGGATGGGAGGGGAGGGGAGGGAAGAGAATGCGTTGGAAGCGTTTGAGGTTGAGGTCGTTCATGCGCTTGCACGTGTGTGATCTAAGAGCCTCGCTTGCACGTGTGTGATCTAAGAGCCTCGCTTGCACGTGTGTGATCTAAGAGCCTCGCTTGCACGTGTGTGATCTAAGAGCCTCGCTTGCACGTGTGTGATCTAAGAGCCTCGCTTGCACGTGTGTGATCTAAGAGCCTCGCTTGCACGTGTGTGATCTAAGAGCCTCGCTTGCACGTGTGTGATCTAAGAGCCTCGCTTGCTGCGCCCGGATGCAACGCTGGAACCAGGATGAGGGCTCGGAAGAATACTGCGAGAGGGAAGGAGTGGGGAGGGTGGGAAGGAGAGGGGAGGAGTGGAGAGGGTGGGAAGGAGAGGGGAGGAGTGGGTTGGCAGCGCGTGAGTTGAGGTTGAGGTCGTTCATGCGCTTGCATGTGTGGTCTAGGAGCCGCGTTGAAATCGAATGCAACGTTGGAACCAGGAGGAGGATTATCAGGCATAGTGTGGGAGGGAATGGGGGAAGGCGGGAAGTAGGAGCACGCTGGGTTAGCGCTTCAGTATTGAGGTGACTCAGTTGTTGCAGGCGTTTTTAGGCCACGTTTCTTAAACAACGCCTGCAAAAGCCAGGAGAGTGAGGTAAGGAGTCGGGGGGCTAGGGAGGAGAGTGTGTTGTCAGCGCATGAGGTTGAGATTATGCACGTGTAATATGAGGTATTCCGGCATGTCTTGTAATATGAGACGTTTAAGGCACCTTTGAGATACTCTACAAAGTACACTTTTGAGAATTCTCAAAAGTGACTCCCAAATAGCATGTCTTGTAATATGAGACGTTTCAGGCACCTTTGAGATACTCTACAAAGTACACTTTTGAGAATTCTCAAAAGTGACTCCCAAATAGCATGTCTTGTAATATGAGACGTTTCAGGCACCTTTGAGATACTCTACAAAGTACACTTTTGAGAATTCTCAAAAGTGACTCCCAAATAGCATGTCTTGTAATATGAGACGTTTCAGGCACCTTTGAGATACTCTACAAAGTACAGGCCACCATCAACCCACGACTCACCTCCATCTCCTCCTCCTCCGCCCCGTTTTCAATCTGCGGCAAATCTCCCATTGCATCCCGCACTGTGATCGACCGCAACGGCGCCCCCACCGCAGGGCCACGTGGACACGCCTCATTGGCCAGCGAGCTAGCCGTGCTGAACTGACCAATACTAGCCGCGCCACCAGCAGCACCACCAGCAGCGCCATTAGCAGCAGCGGGGGTGGTGAGGGGAACAGAGAGTTGGGAGGAGGCGAAGACGTGCAGAGGCTGGGGCCACTCGGGGAGCACGTGGCCCGGCGCTGCCGCCCAGATGAACGCTCTCGTGCGCGACTGGGATATGCCGAAGTTGCCCGCTTGTAGGACCCCAAAGCGGACCTGGAGGGTGAGGAAAGAGGGGAAAAGGGGTTGGCGGAATCTGAAACGCTCAATAACACTCAGGGAGCACGTGGCATGGCGCTGCTGCCCAGATGAACGCCCGTGTGCGCAATTGAGATATTCCAAAGTTGCCCGCTTGTAAGACAACAAAGCGAACTAGGAGAGGTGGGGAGGGGAGATCGGGGGAAACCGAGACTCTCAATAACAGTATGGGAGGATGTGGCCTGGCGCTGGTGACAAGATGAATGAAGGCCCGTGCGCGCGATTGAGATATGCCAAAGTTGCCCACTTGTAAGGCACCGAAACGTCTTACAAGTTGCGCACGTTCTCGAGAAGGAACGAGGCGGGGCAGAGGAAGTCGGAAAAGGAGAGGCAGTGTGTGCAGAGGAAGAAGGGAACACTACATAGTGCTTGCACGTACTGCCTACCTGGTAGCCCATGGCGAGTAGGGTCCGTAAGGCAAGGCGGAAAGTCAGCGCCCCATTGAACGACACGAAGTTGAGGACGTTCTCGAGAAGGAAGGAGTTGGGGCGGAGGAAGTCGGCGAAGGAGAGGCGTTATGATGATAGCAACCGAAGCATACGAGGCGTACCTGATAGCCCATGGCCAGCAGGGTCCTCAAGGCCAAGCGGAAGGTGCGGGCGCCGTTGAAGGAGACGAAGTTGCGCACGTTTTCGAGGAGGAAGTAGTTGGGGCGGAGGAAATCAGCGAAGGAGAGGAAGGCGAGGATCATCTCGCACTGCACCTTGCTCCATGGATTCTGGTTGAAGCGATTCATGCCGGAAAAGCCCTGATTGGGGGAGGAAGAAAGCAAGAGAGGAGGAAGAGTGAAGAGGGAAGAGAGAGAGAAGGCACTGAGAGGAAGGCGAGGATCATCTCGCACTGCACCTTGCTCGCGGTTCATGCCAGAAAAGCCCTGAGTGGGGATAGGCGGAACGGGTAGAGGGAATCAAATAAGGCAAAGGGATAGGGAATGAGAAGGTGAGGCCATCTCGCACTGCGTTTCGCTCCGTGTGTTCTTGGGGGGGAAAAGGCGAAAAGGGTAGAGCAGGAGAGCCGAAGGGGTGAGGAGTGATGAAAGGTGTGGTGACTGAGGAGTGATCATCAGTCACCATAACTGCAACCCCTGTACCTGGCACGGCTGGAGATGAGTCCGATTCTGAGTCATCTCAAATACTAAACCCCGTACTTGGTGGTAGGGGGGCCTCCCTCCCCGCTCACCAAGTTCACCACTCAGCCGGGGGCACCTGGTAGAAATGTGTACCTGGCAGGGCAGCAGCTGCCCTCCCCCATTCACAGGGCAGCAGCTGCCCTCCCCCATTCACAGGGCAGCAGCTGCCCTTCCCCATTCACAGGGCGGCAGCTGCCCACCTCCATTCACGAATACCACTGAACCAGGAAGCGGCCGCTTCCCCCTTTCCTCCTCGGCCATCCTCGTACCACTCACCCCGCACCTGAACAAGTGCCACTGCGACCCCCGTGAACCAGGCAGAGTGCTTTCCTGGATAAGTGTGTACCTGGCAGGGCGGCCCCCCGTTCACAAACTCCACTTGGCCCGGCAGCAGCAGCTCGCCGCTCTCTGCCTCGGCCGTCTGTCCCACTCTCACCACTAGTGCAGGTGGGGTAGGAGCCACCTGAAGCCTGCTTACCTGGCAGGGCGGGCCCCCATTGACGAAGTCCACTTAGCCGGGCAGGGGCAGCTTGCCCCCCTCTCTGCCTTGACAATCTTCCCTGCTACCGCTCACCGCACAGTCCGCACCTGAATAAGTGCCTCTGCGAGCCCCACTCACCTGGCAGGGCGGGCCCCCATTGACAAAGTCCACTTGGCCGGGCAGCGGCAGCTTGCCCTTTTCTGCCTCGGCCATCTTCGCTGCTGCCTCGTCTGCCTCTGGCGTTGACACACAGTCGCCCAGCTGCCCTGCCTGCTCCATCATAGACCTGGGGAGGAGAGGACATGGGAGAGGGGGAAAATGGGGATATATATATATATATACATATATAGATATATGTATATAGATACATATATACATATATGTATATATATATTAGGGGGAAATCTTGGAAGGGGTTAATGGGAGCGAGGGGTTGCCTCTGTCTGGGGCAAAGGAAGTAGGCGAGACAAATAACGAGCAAGATAGGGGAAATGGTAAGGAGGGGAACGAGAAAGGAGTGGAAACGGGGGCAAGGTGGCTACTGTCCCCGTATGGCATCTCCATATCCCCCCTTCACTTAGACAACATGTAACCCTGCTCGCTTACCTAAGCAGCACACCACATAACATGTTACCACCATTAACTACCACATAACCCCACCTGCTTACCTAAGCACCACACCACATCACATCTTACCACCACAAACTACCACATAACCCCACCCGCTTACTCAAGCACCGCTTACCTAAGCACGACGTTACAGTTGGCACAGATGACGGCGGCCTCCGGGTGGTTCTTCTGAAACGCCTCAGCAGCACACCCGCCCACCACCAGCACTGAACCGGCCAAGCAGCATAACCCCACCAGCTCACCTGAGCACCACGTTGCAGTTGGCACAGATGACAGCAGCCTCGGGGTGGTTGTTCTGTTTGCCCCGCTCACCCTTAACCACACCCACCTGAGCACGACATTGCAGTTGGCGCAGATGACAGCAGCCTCGGGGTGGTTCTTCTGAAACGCCTCAGCAGCCGGGTGCTCGTACTCGATGGCCCACCGCGTCTCACACGCCCCCGACCGCTGCAGCCCCTCTGACAGCCCGCCACACCCTGCGAATATATCCAGCGTCCGCAGCACACCAGCACCGCCCTTGCTGTTTTTTCCCGCCCCTTTCTGCCCTTCCTCGTGCTTCCCCTGATTCTCCTTCTCCTCCTGCTTCTCCTGCTTTCCCTGCTGTCTGTCCGCCTTAGCTGCAGCCTTGCTGGTGGGTTCGTCTGGCTCCTCTGCAGCTGCTTTCCCCTTGCCCTTCGCCCTTGCTCTAGCTGCCGCTGCTGCCTCTGCTGCAGCTTCTGCATCAGCATCATCGCCTGCAGCAACACTCTTGCCCTTGCCCTTGCCCTTGTCCTTGGTTGGTGATGCTGCTGCTGCTGCTGAAGAAGGGCCGAAGCGAATCCCAGGGGGCAACTGCACGAGTGTTAAGAAAGGAAGTGGGAAAGGAAGCAAGGAATGCAGAGGAGTCATGCACAGGGAGACATGCCCACCAAGACCATCGAATACTTTCAATGGCATGTGTTACTTCAACGGAGACGAAGTAACATGGGCAAGGTTAGACCGTTAGATAGAGGAACAATACTATAGCAGAGGACGAAGAACCCTCGGTTTCTGGGAACCCCTAAAAGCAACTGAAAGCAGAGGAAACACTGATAGTTTGTGATGATATTATAAAAATGCAGCTGATAACGAGGGGAGTGAGGGAGCACTGTACCATCCGGACGGAACCATCTTTAAAGAGGCGGTCGCAGAAGAAGACAAAGTCACCGCCCATCAGCTCCTCCTCCAGACACCCCCCGATGTTAAAGCCCGAGTGATCCGCCTCTGTTCCTGCCGCTGCCGCTGCTGCTGCAGTGGGTTTACCCCGCTGCACGCAGCACTTGCCGATCACGTCCATAACGTCTACAGTAACTAGGGTTTCACTGTAGTACACCTGTTGCGGGATGAAATAAAAGATCGGAAAATATTTGCTGTTGTGTGGCAAGAGCATTGGGGTGCACATTGCACAAGCACAACACACACACACATAAAAAGGTAAATTTCCACCTCCTCGCTGTCCTATATCAGGGAAGAAGAGACGATGGGGTAAATACAAGCCCTCGCGTCCCTGATACGTGCCGTGTACGCTATTTCATTCCCCTCACTTGGCCCACCTGAGTTTTGAGACCTCTCAAAACCTCATAGATTGCAGATGCACTCACCTCTCTGATATGTGCCGTATACGCGATCTCATCGCCCTCATTTGGGACATCTTCAGGGCGGAAGAACCTCCTCACCACCATCTTCTCAGGCACCTCCTTTGCCCCACCGGTCGGAGCTACAAACTTTTCGATCTGCCCGATAGGCCATGCCCGCAGCCCAATGTTTCGCCCTCCTTTCGCTATCTTGACCTTCTTCCCCTCGCTCTCCTCCCCCACTGCTGCCGGATGCAAGAACACAAAGTCCTGAACCTGAAAATCCTTCCCTAAGTAAGCAAATCCCTCCTTCCCATCCCCCAGCCTCCGCACTTCCATCATCCTATCCCTCCCCGTGTCCTCGTCACACGAGCAACACCTGCCCGTTCCGCTGCCCAGGCTCTTGGGCAGGTCAAAAAAGCCACCGCGGGAGGGGTTGTAGAGGAGGCGGTAGAAGAAGGAGCGCTGCCCGGTTTCTTTGAAAAGCTTCTCTAATCGCTCCCTCTCCCTCTCGTGCTCCTCCATGTTCCTCAGCCTGTGCTCTGCCCCCCACGGCTGCTTGCGATGTGTCACTGCAGCCAGCTCACTGGGGAAGTCACAGAAGTGCACACAGAAAGAGCGTGTGGATTTGTACTTGAGTCGATTCAAGAAGCAATGCATCACTGCTGCAAGCTCACTGGGAAAGTAACAGAATCGCACAGAAAGAGAGCATGTACATGGGTCAGGTTTTGAGTTGAGTCAAAAGTCACCTTTGACTTTGAGGGAGTGAAGAACAACACACAGATACATCAACTTCAGGGCGCCTCAAGGTTTACCGGATGGCAGTGAGTGGGAAGTCAACGCAGTGCTCCGACACAAACAGCTCCCACTCATCTAGTGTCGAACCTCCTCACATCCTTACTCAGTACTCTACACCTGATAGTACACACGTTGAGGCGCCACAAGACTCACCGGATGGCAGTGAGGGGGAAGTCAACGCAGTGCTCCGACACAAACAGCTCCCACTCATCCGCCGCATTCCCCAGCACCGTCTCACTCCCCCTCACCATCACCCGCCCATGCGCCTTCATCCCCTCGCCCCTCCTCCTCCTGCCCGCACCACCCCCCACGCCCCCCTCATCCCACATATACTCCACCAGAACCAACCTCTCCTCCTCCTCCCTCCACCGCCCCTCGTCCCCCTCATCCTCGCCCTCCGCCACAGCCGCCAGCACCACAACCCCTGCCTTGACCTCTAACCCCCAGACTGACGCTGCGGCGTACGCGGGGTGGTCTTCCTCTGTGCGGCCTGTGCTTGCGCCCACCCATGTCACGCCCTGGGTGGAGTCCTTGACTGCTCTCGCCTTGGTTGCACCAGCAGCAACCTCCTTTGCCTTCTCAGTTCCACCAGCAGCTGCTGCTTTTCCCTTATCGGTCGCACCGGCCTCCTTAGCTGTTTCTGCGCTCTTCGCTTTGATCCCCTTCGTTTTACTCCCCGTTGTTTGCCCCGCACCCACTACCTCCTCAACCTCCTCCTCATCCTCACTATCCCCATCCTTCAACTCACCTCCTTCCTCCTCATCCTCCACCTCCTCACCCTCCACCTTCCCATTCTCCTCTCCCTCACTCCCCCCTTTACCCGCCCCCACTTCATCCCGCTTCAATCCGAACCGTTCATAATACTCCTTCCAGATCCTGTGGACCAGCTGAGTCGTGGTAGCACGCATAGGCTTCCTCTTGCTAGCATCCGGCCTTAAAGCCGCAGCAGGATTGGCGTTTCTCGCACTCCCACCGTCACCTCCACCACGCCCATTGCTACCTCTGCTTGCGACAATCATCGCCGCCTTTTTCTTACTAACTTTTAGCTCGGTATGCGATCGCATCTCCATCTTTTCTCGCAGCGTGCTTATGAAGGGGCTCCGGCGGATTGTCTCCACTGGGTACTCTCTAAACTGCTGCAGGATGATATTCCCGTGCACCACTAAAAACCGCTCCATTTCAGCAAAACACTTAGCTAAGTCCCCACGCGCCGGCGCCTTGCCGCTCTTCTGCTGCTCCTCTGCAACCCGCTCCTGCGCCAGCTTCGTCACTACGTCCAGAAAAGACAAGCGCGCCGCCCGGGACTCGCCGCTCAGCATTTCAATGACTCGGATTGCCAGCTGGGCTGTGCGCAGAACTGGGCGGTACCAGGGGACATAGGCAGCACAGGGGCGGCCGAGCCTGTACCATGCCCCATCGGTTCGAATGGTAACAAAAAGCATCCCGGCCCCGAATTCTATCATCCACTCCTTGATCGCGCTCAGATACACCCGGATACCACCGGCGCCACCATCACCACCATCCGCTGCTGCGGGATCAGATCCTGACCCGGATCCACTCCCTGAAGCACCAGCACCACCTGAGGAAGAACCACCAGCACCAGCACCGCCGTCTCCCCGAGTAGTACCAGCGGATTCAACAGTGAGATCGTCGAGGCTGAAGCCGCTGCCATCGTCCTCCATCATAACACCCGAGCCGAACACGAGGGAGTCCGCGGCTACCCCCGGCAGCATGGGCAGCAGCTCAAGAGGCACGAAGCGCAGCTGGTCGTCGTACAGCGCCCAGTCGTCCAGGCGGCGCCGCGGCAGGTCGTCGGGGTAAAGCGGGGCGGTGGCATCGTCGAACAGGAGGAACTCGTCTGTCTCCTCGTCCACGCTCTGGAAGAGCAGTTGCCATGAGGGCAGCGGAGATGGGGAAGGGCGGGAGTGGGGGAAGGGGAATGGGGCGGGAGAAGAGAAGGGCACAGCGGTGAGGAGTGGGTCGTCGAACAGGAACTCGTCTGTTTCCTCGTCCACGCTCTGTGGGTGGGTGGGTGGGTGGGTGGGTGGGTGGGTGGGATGAAGGAACCAGGAGGGAAGAGGGGCAAGGGAGGGAGTGGATGGGGGAAGAAGGGGAAGAGACGCCAGTGGTCACCAGTGGGATGGGGAATACACGGTCCAGCATGGGCAGCCTGCTCGAGCGGCACGGAGCGTGACTGGTCTTCATGCAGTGCCTGGTCGTCGTCCAGGCGGCGAGGCAGGTCGTCCTTTCTCGTTGATTTGAAAGTGCCTCTCCAGACTCCAGCCTGCAGCCAACCACATTTCCTTGTCTTTGCTCCTTCGTTCTTAGTCTCGTTCTCCAGCCTACCTTGTAGTATCTCGGGGGCGGGTAGTCATCAGCCAGCTCCTTCTCATTGATCTTCAAATACCTCTCCTGCCTGCCACCGCCCCCAGTCCCCTTCCTCCGTCCACCTCCCCTCTTCGCCTCTGCGTCCTTCTCCTCCTCTTCGGCCACCAGCCTAGCCAACTCCTCGTCATCAATTCCCACGCTTGCTCCCTCGCCGGCCCTGCTGCTGCTGCCGCTGCCGCCAGCGGTGTCTCTTATAACGAGGGCTCCGTTTGTAGCAGCTGGCTTCTTGCCCGTGTGTTCCTTGGCGCTGGCTTGCCTGGCCTCCACGATGCTCCTGACAGCTGCGTGCTTGGCTCCCTCCTCTTTCAGAGACCTTTAGGGGGATCAGAGAAGGGGAGGAAATGGGAGACAAGAAGGCGAGGGGAAGAAGATGAGCTACCTGCCTGCCCCTATGCTCCGGACAGCTGCTTGTTTGACTTTCTCTTCCTTCAGAGACCTTTTCGAGGTCATGGAAGGCAAAGTGGGAATAGAAGATTCAGGGAAAGCTGTGAGCTGCCTTGCTGCCACTATGCTCCGGAGGGCTGCCTGTCTCACTCCCTTCTATTTCAGCCCACACAACTTCTGCGCCACAAGCGCATGGGCCTCCACCAACTGCTGCCTTAATTTGACCCAATGAATCAAATCAACAAGTGAAGCGACTCACAGTTGCACACAGAGACACCCAAGGACAAACGCACTCGAGTGCAGGCAGCAATCAGAACAGCTGGTCGTCCCCATCCGCATCCTCGTCCAGCCCGCACAGCTGCTGGGAAGTCAATTGAGCATTTTACCACAGGAAGTGGCACACAAACGCTCGATCACTCACGCACACACAGACTCACTCGAGCGCAAGCAGCCGTGAGAAGAGCTAGTCGTCTTCATCCGCGTCTTCGTCCAGCCCGCACAACTGCTGCACCACAAACGCGTGCAACGCCCACCAGTTGCTGCCCACTGAGTTGACCCAGCAAATCAACGTCCCCACAGCAAGCAGGGCACACACATGCAGGCACACAAACTCACTCTAGCGCAGGCAGCCCGGAGAACAGCCGGTCGTCCTCATCCGCGTCCTCGTCCAGCCCGCACAGCTGCTGCGCCACACACGCATGCACCTCCAGTAGCTGTCTTGTCTTGACCCACCCAGAATCAAGTAACAACCTCATGAAGCGGGGCACACACGCAGGCAGACGGACTCACTCTAGCGCAGGCAGCCCTGAGAAGAGCTGGTCGTCTTCATCCGCGTCCTCGTCCAGCCCGCACAGCTGCTGCGCCACAAATGTATGCGCCGCCACTAGCTCGTCCCTGCACGGCCGCCCCAGCGCCCTCGACACGCGCGCCACCACCTCCGGTAGGGAAATGGTAGGGTCGCCCCCGTCTGGCTTACTTAGAGCCCTGAAGACTTCCACGCACAAATTGGCCTTGTCCTGTTTGGAGCGGGGGGGTGGGGGAGGTGGGGGGAACGTGTGAAGCTGATGAGGCACGGCCCTCCAGGTCGTCCCTGCACGGCCGCCCCAGCGCCCTCGACACTCGCGCCACCACCTCTGGGAGGGAAATGGTAGGGTCGCCTCCGTCCGGCTTGGAAAGGGCTCTGAAAACCTCCACGCACAGATTGGCCTTGTCCTGATTGGGAGTGGGGAGGGAAACGGGAATGGGGAGGAGCGGGGTAAGAGCTTGAAGCACGCGCCACCACCTTTGGCAGGGAGAGGGTGGGCTCGCCCCCGTCCGGCTTGGAAAGGGCTCTGAAAACCTCCACGCACAGATTGGCCTTGTCGTGTTCAGAGAAGAGGGGCGGGGAAGGTGAAAGGAACGAGGAACGTCCAGGAATGGGAGGAGCGTCTGAAGTAGAGGAACGTGTGAGCGTCTCCTGGATCGTGACTAGGATAACATTTTACTAAATAACATGTTTTGAGAAGAAGTTTTTTACGGCGTCTCTAAGCTGGCCCCCACACCACACTCACGTTCCCCATCCACGCACAGTACCTGGAGCTCAGTGAAGCGTTTACCTGAAGCGTCTACTTTTGAGGCGCCTCAAAAGTAAGCTCAGTGAAGCGTTTACCTGAAGCGGGTAAATTCCTCCTTCTGCTTGGCCACTTTTAAGGCGCCTCAAAAGTCGCACAGCACCTGGAGCTGAGTGAAGCGTTTACCTGCAGCGGAGTGAAGTCTTTCTTCTGCTTGGCGGCGGGGCGGCAGCAGACATACGTGGCAGCGTCCGTGGTGATCATGATGCGCGCCGCCGTGTTCGCCTTCTCGTAATCGTCGATGTACCACCCGTCGATGGGCCCGAACGCCTCGCACCTGTAACCCTGGTTACCGAGTAACAGAGCACGGGGCAACGAACAGCAGCATCAGGTCAACATGTGTCTCATACGCGACTCTTATGAAGGTACAGAGCAGGGCGGCTTACACTTATCTTCATCTATATGGCACAGAATGAGGGCCACGGGGAGAAAATAAAAACAAAAGCTACGCCGCAAGACTGACCACCTCCACCGCGCAGGGTGCGGGCGCCCATCTTCCCTCGATACAGTGCAGGGCGGCGGACGCTCGCCTCACCTCCATATGGCGCAGCGCGGCGGTCTCGGGAAGAATGACGCCTGTCGCGAAGAGCCCCTCCCCGCGCGCCGCGAGCGCGTCGAAGTTGTCGAGCGGCATGAGCGCGCCGTCCGCGTCGTGAAACACGAAGTCCAGCAGCTGCCGCACCGGCGCCTTCTTCTCCGCCGCCGCCGCCGCGGCTGCTGGATCCGACGGGTGCGTGAGCACGATCGCAGCTTCCTCTGCGCACATCGATGAAGGAAGCAAGTTTGGAGGAGGGAGGGAAAATAGAGTGGCGATGCAGGTGATGACTTGGTAAGCTACTATGAGAGGAAATGCGGGTGTTTACCGGATACAATCGGCTAGCTAGACGCGAAGCCAGTAACGCGTACGTCTGTCGATCAGCGAAAATCTACGTCGCACCTGAATCCACGAGCAGAGCCTGCATCGCACCTGAGTCGGCGAGCGGAGCCTGCTTCACTTGAATCATGTCGTCGTCGATCTTTGGCGCCTTGCCTCGCTTCCTCGCCTTCCCAGGCGCCTTCTTCGCCTCCTTTTCCGTTCCCTTGAGCTGATCTGAAGCCGTTTCGTTCGCCCCGTCTTCCTTGGGCTGACGTGGAGGTTTTCCATTCCCCCCATTCGCTGCCTTGGGCTGACGTGGAGCCTCCACGCGGCTGACGCTGCGGCCATTGTTCACCTTGGCGCGCTTTGTCCCTGTTTTCTCTTCCACCGCGGTGGTCTCCTTTGAACGCTTGCCCCCGCCCTTTTCTCCCACCACGCCGTTTTCCGTTACGTTTTTCACGACGCCGTTTTCCTCGACCGCGGTGCTCTCTTTTGAGCGTTTGCCGCCACCCTTTTCTCCCACGACACCATTTTCCTTCGCGCGTTTCACGGCGCCCTTCTCTTCGACGGCAGCATCCTCAGCCTTGGCGCGCCTGCTACCGCGACCCTTCGGTTCAGTCACAATCTCTTCCTTCACATTCTTGCTTTCTCCCTTCGATTTAGTCACACTGCATCGATTCATCGCCTTCGCCTGTCGCGTTCGAGTTCCGTTCGTTCCAGTCACTGGGCGGCCATTTGTCGCCTTCGACTGCTTGCCCTTCACTTTAGTCACAACTTCCTCGACTTCTATCACCTCCTCCACGTCCATTGCTCCGTTTCTTCTTCCACCGCCAAACAACGGACGTGGCCGCGCGGGTAGATCAGCAAGCTAAGTGATTGTGAACGAGGGACAAGAGAATGCAGGAATATGGTATGGCTCAGTTGTTGGTAACGCTTGCAGGGACTCCCCTCCTTTCCACCGATGGCATGTTTCGGAATGGCGGGAGAAAGAAAATGAGGAAACAATCGATGAGAGCAAGCCTTGGTTTGGTGTGTGCTGGTTCATTAGCTCCATCCGTTGGATCTCTGAACCTTGTATGTCCACCGTCAGATTAGCTAGCCTTGAAACTTGGAACCTGGGGATGATGGAGCCTTGGGGTCGTCGGACTGACGCTTCCGTGCCACCAATCGGAAGCAAACATCGGAATCGTGGGATGGCTCGGCCTTCCGCAGAATCGTGTTGAAATTTCAAAATTATGAAAAGCCGAGTGGAGACATTTTAGCAAATTGTAACAGAGTTGGGCATAACATTTTGCCGGATAAAAATGATGATGTGAGATATTAGCAATAACAGAGACAGCAAGTTGTCCAGTTTAGTCACAAAAATCTGTCTGGTCCATGCTTATGCATGCGAATCAGCAGGCTTAAATAGCTTTGTAACCACAGTAAGCAGCTGAGCCTCGTCGATGGGGTTTGAGAGCATTCCGTCCATACCTGCCTCTTTCCACCTGCAGACACACAAGAACATGAAATTATCAAAATGATTTGCAGAATGCCACATGCGCTTCACTCCAATAAAAAGTCCTCCACATCCCCAAAAAAAAAAACTTCCTTGCCCCAGCTCAACCCCGTTCATCACTCCAAATCTCTCACAACCCCTCGCTCTCCCTCCCCCCTGCTATTTCCTGATCTCACTCACTTGGCCACGAGTTCAGGCAGGGCGTCGTTGACCAGTCCCACTATGGGGATGTGCGAGTGCTGCGCCGCACTGCCCATGCGCACCACATCCTCGTTATAGCGCTGCTCCTCCATGCGCCTTATAGCTTGTGTGAATGCAAAGCTGTAGACAGACGGGCACGCGAGAGGGGCAGAGAAATCGAGATGGGGATGTGGGTGTGGGGTTGCTGAGGGGCACTGCACATGTGCATCATGTGCACCCCATCCTTGTTATTGCGCTGCTCTCTAAATGCCATTTTGCTTTCAGGATGCGAAGCTGCGCAGATTGACGACTGAAGGGGGTGGAAAGTTAGGCGAGAATTTGTGGTAAACGGGAATCTGCGGCAAACGGGCAGCTGCTGGTAAAAGCAGGAAAGGCAGGAAACGGTAGAAGGCAGGTTGCTGGAGTGAGGCAGCAAGCCAATTGCACCTTGACACATCAGCACAACCAATCGCACTCTGACATGTCAGCAAGCCAATCATACCCGGACATGTCAGCAAGGCGCAGGTTGACAAGCACCAGGTGAAACTCCGAGCCACGGATCTGCCCCAGCGCCTGCCCCTGCCCTTCCCCCTGCCCCTCCCCCTGCCCTTGCCCCTGGGAGAGTGCAAGAGAGGGGGCAGCGTGCAGGCGGGCGAGGGCGTCGCTAGCGGAGCCGAGAGCCAGCGCCACGTCAGCAAAGCGGGAGAGCATGACTGCCACAGCCTTGCGGCTTATAAAGTTGTGATCCACTATCTGGGATGGAGAGAATGGGGGAAAAGGATGCGAGGGGGGAAAGCATGAGTGCCACAGCCAATGGCCCTGTCTCTGCCCCTGCCCGTTCCTCTGCCCCTGCCCGTTCCTCTGCCCCTGCCCGTTCCTCTGCCCCTGCCCGTTCCTCTGCCCCTGTCCGTGCCCTTGCCCCTGGCGTCTGCAGCGGAGCGGAGTGCCAGCGCCACATCGGCAGAGCGGGAGAGCATGACTGCAAGGGCACAGGGGTGGGAGAAGGGGGGGTGGTGGGGAGGTGGTGGTCTTTGGTGGGGGTTGTGGGAAGATCAAAGCACGAGGGCATCGCGGCTACGGCCTTGCGGGTGAAGAAGTTGTGATCCCCTATCTGGGCGGGAGGAGTTTTGAGACGTCTCAAAACTCGGCATGTGATGCATCTGCATGGCATGTGATGCATCTGCATGGCATGTTTTGAGACGTCTCAAATCATGGCTACGGCCTTGCGGGTGATGAAGCTGTGATCCAATATCTGGGCAGGAGGAGAGGGGGAGAGGGGTCTTTGTTGGAGGTTGTGTGCAACATCGCACACACAACATCACACCATATCGCACACCCGGCACATCACACCCACCAGCACATCACACCCACCAGCACATCACACCACATCCCGCACCCACCATCACGTGCTTGCCCTTGAGGCACAGGCGCAGGAGAATCTGATACACATAGACCACACATCGCACACCCACTCGCACATCGCACACCACATCCCGTGCCACCAACCATCACGTGCTTGCCCTTGAGGCACAGGCGCAGCAGAATCTGATACACATAGACCACACATCGCACACCCACCAGCACATCACACCCACCAGCACATCACACCCACCATCACATCACACCCACCAGCACATCACACCCACCATCACGTGCTTGCCCTTGAGGCACAGTCGCAGCAGAATCTGGCGCCGTCTTGCTGCCGTGGCGCTGGTGTCCCGCGGGTTGAAGGAGAGCGCCTGGCGGGACAAGATGAGAGAAGGGATGGAGGGAGGAAAGGAGATAGAATCACAGGTTGAAGGAGAGGGTTTAGGGTCGGCGAACAAGATGAGAAGGGATGGAGGCGAGTAGCAGAAACAGTGCCATGATTCTCCCTCCTTGTCAACAGGACAGGGCATCAATGCAATATATATATATATATATATGTATATATATATATATTTTTATATATAAGGGACTTACTTCAAGCAGAGTGGTGGCCATATCAGCAGCCCTGAGCGGTTTCACCATGATGCCTGCAAACCCCAGCTTCTGTGCTTCCTCCCTCAGAGCCTCGTTGGAGTCCTGTGAGTGAGAGGGGAGGAGGGGGAGGGATAGGCGGGAGCATAGGGACAGGGGGGAGAGAGGGGAGACACGGAGGATGATGCCTGCGAAGCCCAGCTTCTGTGCTTCCTCTCTCAGCGCCTCGTTGGAGTCCTGTGAGTGAGAGGGGAGGAGAGGGAGAAGGTAAGGGGTTGGTTTTGGTGAGCAGGGAAGAGAGGAAGGAAGTAGTGGGTGGGAGTGTTCGCATTCGCAACAACCACCCTCAGTGGTTTCACCATGAAGCCTGCAAACCCCAGCTTCTGCGCCTCCTCCCTCAGCGCCTCATTGGAGTCCTGCGGGGCGGGGGATGTGGTGGGGTAGAGGAAGGGATAGGCGTGAAGGGGAGAGAGGGGACAGGTAGGGGGTACGATGCCCGCAAACCCCAGCTTCCAGCCACAGAGCCGACCCTTCTAGTGTCTGGGTGATGGCGACGGGGTCAGTGGCGCACGGCTGTCGGGTGAAAATGGCTTGCTGCTGCTATAGGGCGCAGGCAGGGGTGCGTAGGGCGATTCAACAGCATGCGCTGTGTCTCACCGTGGCCACGAGCACGAGAAGGGAAAAGTTGGAGAGCTGTTCCCAGCCCAAGGAGGCCAGTGACTGCGTGATGGCTACGGGGTCAGTGGCGCGATGCTGTGCCTCCAGGTCCCTCAGTTGCAGCACCATGCGGCCTTGTGGACACTGCCAGGCCTGTTGACCTACAAGGTGCTTCACGCGCCCAGCCCAGCAAGCACTGCTTCTTTCTCACCGTGGCCCCGAGCACCAGCAGGGGAAGATTGGAGTGCTGCTCCCACCCAAGGGAGGCCAGTGACTGCGTGATGGCTACGGGGTCCGTGGCACGGCAGCCCGCTAGCAGGTGAGGTGAGTAGCGTGAGATGGGACCGCTGTTCCACAAGCTGCTGTGTCTCACCTTGGCCACGAGCACGAGTAGAGGCAAGTTGGAGTGCTGCTCCCACCCAAGCGAGGCAAGAGATTGGGTGATGGCTACCGGATCAGTGGCACGGTGCTGTGCCTCCAGGTCCCTCAGCTGCAGCACCATGCGGCCCAACGCCAGGCCTGTGGAGGGGCCGTCACTGTCCAGATCAACCACCACCACATCCCACCGGCTCTTGCGGGAGGCTGCTCCTGCCATTCCTGGGTGGGTGGGGGGGAGCAGCGGAAGGGGAGAGGAGACAGGGAGGAGAGGAGATGAGTTGACTTATGAGTCGACTTAAAAACCACCACCACATTCCACCGGCTCTTGCGGGAGGCTGCTCCTGCCATGGCTGGATGAAGGGAGGAGAGCGGGGGAAGGGGAGAGGAGACAGGGAGGAGAAGGAAGGAAGGAAGGGCCGTCATCATGTCCTATTTGACCACCACCACATCCCACCGACTCTTGCGAGGGGAGAGGCTATAGCCATGCCTGTGTGAATAGGAGGGGAGTGGAGGAGGGGGAGAACGAGAAGTGATGTTGAGGGGTGGAGCACAGCAGCAGAGGCACTTCCATTCAAACAAACTACCACACCACGCCACACCGCATCACACCGCACCACACTCACCAAACATGCTGCGTGCAGCCAAGGCAGGCAGCACCAATGGCACCAGCAGCAGAAGTAGGGGCAGCAGCAGCAGTGGCAGAGTGTCTGAGCGCGAGATCAGCAGCAGAGACACTTACACCCACCCCACCCCACCACATCGCACCGCACCACACCGCACCGCACTGCACCACACTCACCCAGCATGCTCTGTGCAGCAGAAGCACCACCGGCAGCACCAGTACCAGCAGCAGGAGCAGCAGCAGAGGTAACATCGCGCCTGAGCGGCAAGGCAGCAGCAGAGACACTCCATTCAAACTGAATGACATCGTGCCGTGAGTGCAGAACCGCATCCCACCGCACTGCACTCACCCAACATGCTCTGTGCACCAGCAGCACCCTTACCAGCAGCAGGGGCAGCGGCAGAGACACTCCATTCAAACTGAATGACACCATATCATGCTGCACCGCATCACACCGCACTGCACTCACCCAACATGCTCTGTGCACCAGCAGCACCCTTACCAGCAGCAGGGGCAGCAGAGGAGGTGACACCGTGCCTGAGCGCAATTGCAGCAGCAGAGACGCTTCCAATCATAGAGCACACATACCACAACGCACCGCACTGCACCGCACCACACTCACCAGTACCAGCAGCTGGGGCAGCAGGAGAGGTGACGTCGTGTCTGAGAGCCAAGGAAGCAGCAGAGACGCTGTCTGACAGATCCACCTTCAGACCCAGGCGCGCCATGCACGTGGCCAGCACCTGGTGGTGTGGAGAGGAATGGAGAGGGGGAGTGGGAAAGCAGTGGTGTGCGGGACGAGTGCTGAGTGCCAGGGCAGCAGCAGAGACGCTGTCTGGGAGATCCACCTTCAGACCCAGACGAGCCATGCATGTGGCGAGGACCTGGCAGTGTGGGAATTGGGGGGGGAGGAGGGAGGGGAACGGGGGGAAGCAGGGTAGGGGTGTATGAGTGCTGAGTGTCAAGGCAGCAGCCGAGACGCAGTCTGAGAGATCCACCTTGAGACCCTAGCGCGCCATGCACGTGGCGAGGACCTGGTGCCGGGAAGGGGGAAGGGGAAGTGAAGGAGAAGGGGGAGGGAGAAGAGTGGAAGTGGGGTTGAAAAGGGATGACTTCTGAACAACAGGGCAGCAGCGGAGAGACTGTGTGAGAGATCCCCGTTTAGACCAGGCGAGCCATGCACGTGGCAATCACCTGGCGTGGTGAGGTGATTAAGGGAGGGAGGTGGCAGGAGTGTAAGGGATGAGCTTGCAGTCTGGCAGCGAGATAGGCGTGGCACCCACCCACCTGTTGCCTCATGGATCGACCATCAGCACCCAGGCCAAGCAGCCCGCTCCGCTTGCTCTGCAGTGCCAGGCTCTCCGCCTGTTGCTGTCTCCATTCCACTCCCTCCAACCCACTATAAGCAGATGACGGGATATCATTAAAGAGAACCCAGCCAGGCACCGTCTTTTGAGGCGCCTTAAAAGCCCTCCAACCCACTATAAGCAGATGACGGGATATCATTAAAGAGAACCGAGTCAGGCATCGCAGCCCCCTCAGCTCGCCCCTCGGAGCCAGGCGCTCTCCACCTGCTGCTTTCATCCACTCCATTCCGCTCCCTTCACTCCCCACCACACCAATACAGCCGGAACGTACCTGCTGCCTCACAGGCCGACCGTCCACTGCCAGGCACCTCAATCCCCTCAACTTGCCTCTCAGCACCAGGCTCTCCACCTGCTGCTGCTCGCACACTCCATTCCAGTCATTCGATCACTCCCAACCACAAACATACCTGCTGCTTCACAGGCCGACCGTCCACTGCCAGGCACCTCAATCCCCTCAGCTTGCCTCTCAGCAGCACCAGGCTCTCCACCTGCTGCTGCTCGCACACTCCATTCCCTTCCCCCCACTCCCCACCACACTAACAAACTCAAAACCCACCTGCTGCCTCACGGGTCGACCGTCCACTGCCAGGCATCTCAATCCCCTCAGCTTTCCTCTCAGCGCCAGGCTCTCCGCCTGCTGCTCGTCCGGGATTGGCCCGAATCCAGCATGGAAGACACGTGGCAGCAGGCTAGAGGCTGGGCCGGTGGGCGGCTGGGCGAGCGAGAGGTCAAACGTGAATGTTGAGCCGATTCCGGGGCGACTGTAGACGAGCAGCTGACCGTGCATGGCTTGAACAAGACTGGTGGGGAGCGGAGGAGGAGGGGGGAGGGGTAAGGATGTGAGAGAAGGTTGGGCGGCTGGGCAAGCGAGAGATTGAATGTGAAGGTTGAGCCGATGCCGGGGCGGCTGTAGATGAGCAACTGGCCGTGCATGGCTTGCACCAGACTGCGAGAGTGGGGGTGGGTGCAGGGCAGGGCAGGGGGAGGAGAGGGGAAAGGAGGGGTTTACAACGAGCAAGAGGTGGGGGGTGAATGTTGAGCCGATGCCGGGGCGACTGTAGACCAGCGGGTGGCCGTGCACGGCTTGGACTAGACTGGAAGAGAAAGTGGGGAATGGGAAAAGGGAAAGGCAAAGAGGGCGAATGGCAAACGGTATGAGAATTATTTGATACCGACCTGCTACAAAACGGGAAGGGCACACAAGACAGAAGGGGCACTCACTTCTGAGCAACGTTGAGCAGCAGGGGGACGGCGGCGAAGCACAGCTGCAGCGGCAGGGAGAGCGGCTGAAAGGGCTTTTCTAGAGCATCAAACACAGCGTCAGGCAACCCCACCCCCGTGTCCTCCAACCCAACCAATGTGCCCATCAGCCTCACTCCCCCTCGCACACCCTCATTCTCCCTCCTCGTGCACCCCTCTCCACCCCTCATTTGAGGCACCTTGGGTTGGACGAAGCAAAGCACATGCACAGGCGCTGGGCTGGGGGAAAGACCCACTTACTTCTGGGCCACATTCAGAAGAAGGGGCACGGCGGCGTAGCGCTGCTGCAGCGGCAGGGAGAGCGGCTGAAAGGGCTTCTCCAGAGCATCAAACACAGCGTCTGGCAGTCCCACCCCCGTGTCCTCCAACGTGCACATCAGCCTGACTCCCCCTCGCACACCACCACCACTCCCCACCGCACCCGATCCCCCTCCCCCTCCTCCCACTCCTCCCCTTCCCGCACCACCACCCCGCTCCCCACTCCCCGCCCGAGCGCCCCCTCCACCCGCCCTCCCCACCTCCCCCACTCCCCCCTGCTGCTGCGGCCCCATGAGGCGCCGGAACCGTGCCTCCTGCTCGCGGATCATGCGGCAGATGCTCTCCCAGCTGTTGCTGCCGTCCGCTGCTGCCCGCCCGCTCAAAGTGAGGCTCTCCCCCTTGGCTTGGCTCGCCCGGCCTCGAGCGATTCTCTCGGCTTCCACTGCCTGGGCTTCACGGCTGGGAGCTGGGGAAAAAGGGAGGGAGGGGTGATGAGGGGATGGGGGTGCCCGCTCAGCGTCAGGCTCTCCCCTTTGGCTTGACTCGCCCTACTCCGGGCGATGCGCTCTGCTTCAACTGCCTGGGCCTCTCTGCTGGGGGCTGAGGAGGGGGGGAGGGAGCGGCGGTGAGGGGATGGGGGTGCCCTCTCAGAGCCAGGCTCTCCCCTTTAGCCAGGCTCGCACGGACCCCGACGCCATCTCATCGTCATCGGGAGCCAGACGCACCGCACCACGAGGAACAACATCAAGGCCATGAATGAAGTGCGCAGGCAGGCACTCAACGCACCTTCCATGTCGTCAGGAAAATTAGGGTCCGCCATGCGCCGCATCTCGTCGTCGTCTGGAGCCAGGCGCACCACGAGGAACACAGGCGTACCATCATCTAGCCACCAACGCACCTTCCATGTCATCAGGGGAGTTGGGATCCGCCATGCGCCGCATCTCATCGTCATCCGGCGCCAGGCGCACCACCAGAAACACGTGCCCGCGGTCGGTAAGTCGCACCGCCACTGCCATGAGATTGGCCAGGATCTGATGGGGGGGGGAGAGATTGGGGGAAGGAGAGGGGGGCGAGTGGGGAGAATGGTCAGTTACGGAGAGTGAGATGGGGAGAATGAGTGGGAAAGGAGAAAAGGGAACACGTGAACGCAATCGGTAAGTCGCACCGCAACTGGCATGAGATTGGCCAGGATCTGAAGGGGGAGGATGGGGAGGAAGGGATAGGAAGAGAGGAGGCATGGGCGGCCTGAGCGGATCCCCTCCCCTAACACGACACCACCACGGTCAGCCTGTATGTGAGTTAAGCAACCCACGTGGCGCAGCCTGGGCGGGTCCCCAACGACCACAGTGGTCACGGAGGAGTCCATGAGCAGATCGTTTTTGAGGCGCCTCAAAAACGACCTCAATGCACGGAGGAGTCCATGACCAGTGCAGCCAGCTCAGCTCCACTCCACGCCCTTCTCCCTCGCCTCGCCTGCTGAGGAGAGGCAGGTGAGATGAGAAGAGCGCCCTCAGCAACCCCACCCACAAACCCACGTGCCGCAGCCTGGGCGGGTCCCCCACGACCACAGTGGGCACGGAGGAGTCCATGACCAGTGCAGCCAGCTCAGCTCCAGTCCACGCCCTTCTCCCTCGCCGCGCCGCGCCTCGCCTCGCTCACCAGGGCCCGGCCTCGCTCACCAGGGCCCGGCCTAGCTCTCAAACCCACCTGGCGCAGCCTGAGCGGGTCCCCCACCACCACGGTGGGAACTGAGTCCATGACCAGCGCTGCCAGCTCCACTCCACGCCCTTCTCCCTCGCCTCGCTTACGAGGAGGAAGGGGGGAACGAGGACTGAGAGACTAGAGCATCTCACTTGGCGCAGCCTGAGCGGGTCCTAGAGAGAGGCGAGTGAGAGGAGAGGAGGGCCTTGAGCTAACCCACCCACCTGGCGCAGCCTGAGCGGATCCCCCACAACCACGGTGGGAACAGAATCCATGACCAGTGCTGCCAGCTCCACGCCCTTCTCCCGCACCTCGCCCGCCACCAGCAGCACCACTTCATCCACCACACACCGCAGGTCAAACACCGCACTCTCTAACCCCAGTGCAGCCAGCCAGCACCACCCGTAACCCACCTGGCGCAGCCTGAGGGGATCCCCCACAACCACGGTGGGAACTGAGTCCATCACAAGTGCAGCTAGCTCGACCCCTTTCTCCCGCGCCTCGCCCGCCACCAGCAGCACCACCTCATCAACCACACACCGCAGGTCAAACACCGCACTCTCTAACCCCAACCGCACCACACTCCCTCTCTCCACCGCCCCTGCCCTGCCTCCCCCCCCGCCTCCCCCCGTGCCTCCCCCTCCCCCTCGTTCCCCACGGAAGATCGCAGCGGCGGTTGAGGAGGCAGCGGCGGAGGAGGCGGCGGCGATCCGACGGTTCTCGATGCGCCAGCTGTCTACGACGTTGTTGGCGACGTGGATGACGTGGCGCGCCGTGGCCTGCACGGCTGCCAGCATGTCGTGCTGCGATTCGTCGAGGGAGGAGGAGAGCAGCAGCTGCAGTAGACCCAGTACGCCTGGAGAGAGGGAGAGGGAGAGAGTGAGTGTGAAGGAGGGAGTGTGTGTAGGGAGGAGGAGAGGAGCAGCTGCAGCAGTCCCAGCATGCCTGGAGATTGAGAGGGAGAGAGAGAAAATGTGTGTGAGAGAGAGCGATGTGCGTACGGGTGCGGGGGAGAGGTGGGGGAAAGAGGCGGTGCGGGAGGAGAGGAGGACGAGAACGAGAGATCAAGAGATGGCCATGGGCGGGCAATAACAGGGTGGTGGTTGCGGGGGCTTGGGAAGACGTGAGTGGTTGGTTGGTGGGGGGAGGGGGAAGCGGCGCAAGGGAATGAGGGTTGATGAGGTGAGTTGGAGGAGACAGGGAAAGAGAAGACCCTGCAACCAGTTTGACCTAATCTGATCTGATCTGATCTGATCTGATTTGATGTGTCTAGTATCAACTTTACTCTCTAATGATGACGAGAAAGCCACTCTTACTTACCTCTAAGCGGCGCTCTTATCTCATGCACCAGAATTCCCAATAAAGAGCTTCGCCCCACCGATACCGCCAGCTTGCTGCCAGCTGTCACCACCGCCCTTCCGTCCGAACCTCCCTCCGAGCTTCCTTCCGAACCTGGCACCCCTCCAATCCCCTCTGCACCCCTCCCCCGTCCGCTTCCGCCCTCTTCCCCCTCCGCCCCGCCTTCCCCCAGCCTTCCCCCGCGCCCGCCCGTCCCGCCTTCTAATGCGCGGAGGCGCTCCTCCAGCGCGCTGAGTTCCGCCAATCCGCTCCCCAATGCGCGCAGCGCGCATACCATGAACCCTAGCACGGCCGCAGCCGCCGCTAGCGGGGACCACCGCCACGTCAGCACGTCCACGGCTGGGTGCCACGGAACGGGACACGTGGCATTATTCCATCGCGTCGCGTTTGCCAGTTGGCTCCCGCCAGCAGCGGCGGAAATGGCGGAGGCATTGGCGGAAGTCGTCCCAATATTTTCCGCACTGGCGGAAGGCGGAAATTTGCACGGGCCGAGCGGGTCTTCATGCGCGGGGAGCGTTGCGCGGAGAACACTGAAGGCAAGAATTAGCGCTACGAGGTACGAGCCAGTCAGAGCAAGCCACGTCAGCCAAGGCAGCCGCGCCGCGCTGGGGCTGGAAGGCTTGCCACGTGCCGCTGATGAAGCTGCATCACTGGCGTCCGACCCGCGCTTCCCATTGGACGGTTCCTCGTCCCGGGCCACTCTCGCGCGCTGTCGTTTCCCCTTAGCCTCGCCGTCTACTATCTCGTTCCCTTCACTTCCGCCGTCACTTCCGCCGTCACTTCCGCCGTCACTCCCCCCGTCGCTTCCGCTGTCGTCCGCGTCACTCTCCGCTTCGCGACTCGCTTCCGTTTCCCCGTCGCTGCTTTCCGCCGATTCCTCCGCCTCCTCCGCGCGCTTTTCCGCAGGCGCCTTCCGCCCCCGCCACATGCTGCCAATGTGCGCGGAAAGAAAGGTTTATCGCGCGCCAAACACCTCCCCAGCTCAAGTATGAGTAGGTTACTGCGAAGCTGCCTCCACTATTGCTATCAAGTAAGGGGAGGAGAGATAGGCTCTCAACCGCCGGATTGTCGGCTAACCGGCAGGAGTCGGCGAAATGGAACGGTTGGTGGTATTTTTAGAAGACTCCGGTTGTCCTCGTATTCTCTACACAACCCGTTTTCCGCTACCTGTGAACTACACTAAGGTACAGGTCAGTAAAATCTTTATCCCGTTTATCGTTTTGAGTGGACCTTGTGTTTCATAACCCTACTTTCATGAAACATTAGCTCGTTCTTATCTCTTGTTGATGCCCCCATCTATTATACTTTTTATTTAGAACCGTAGTGATGATATAATAATGCATTATAAAATCCTTTTATTACACAAACCCCCCGCACCAAAGCACATTGCACTCCCCCAACCGCCGCAACCAAGTCCTTTGTGTCACCAAGCTGCTCCATCCACCCTCCCTACTCAAGTTCAAATTCCCTCCTGCCCATGATAATACTATAGCCCAGAACCATTTCTCCACACCATCGCGCCAACAAATCCGGTGCTCTAGAAGCATCCCTGGTCATTGGGAGTCCCGGCGTTCATGCACACGCCATACCTCTTCGGGTTAATGGCAGCATCAATAAGGCGCTGCCAGTACATCTGCCCAGGGATAGAGCCATCAGTCTGGGGGTTGCGGTACGTGGGCCAGTGGCGGTTGAAGAAGCACTGCTGCGCGCGGCAGTAGGGGCATCCGGGGCAGGTCGCATCCTCAGTGCAGTTGAACCCGTAGACGGGGTCAGGCTGGGTGAAACGGCAGGTCTCTGGTGCAGGGAGGAGGGGGAAAAGAGACGAGGGCAAAAAGTGAGGGAAAGGAGACAGGGGAAGAGGGGGAAAGGAGAAAAGAAGCAAATAGTGAGGGAACGGAGACAGGGGAAGAGAGTAAGGGGTGCGGGGGCAGAGCGGCAAGAACTAGAGGGGTGCTGAAGGGTCTGTGATGGTTTGCTGGTTGTGCAAAGGTGTGCGGAGGGATTGTGAACGTACTGAAGCCGGTGGCCCAGTCATCGACGCCCGGCCACGACAGGTTGTTGTTGATGTAAGTGTACCACTTGCCGTTGGGCTTCTTCACGGCGAGCCCGTACACCGGGTGGAACCTGCACACACCGGGAAGCACCGCGACACACCGCACAGCACAGCACAGCTCAGCACAGCCCCGCACCAACAGCGCCGCATGGAAACCAAACAGTGGAATCACAGAACGGAAATACGACGACCAGGAACAATTGTATGATCAAGGTGGAATCGCACTGAGTCGAATACTCACCGGGGCTTCTTGTAAGGGTAAGAGGCGTATCCGGGATCAGTCGCAAGCGTGTTGGTCCAGTTCGCCACCTCAGCAGGCGCATCCTCCGGCAGGCTCGTATCCTCAAGCGTAGACGAGTACGCCACGGCGCGCGCGTCGATCTGATCGAGCGCCGCGCCGATATCCGCGGGATCCATGAACTGATTCAGCGCCACATACGGCGGGGGAGCCGGCTGCGTGATCGGATCGAGCACCGCGGGGTATGTGTCGTTGACGTTAGGGTTGATGGTCGCGGCAATCGCGGCGGCGTCCATGGACGCGTTGGTTGCGGGCCACGGGGACGCGACGGTCTCCATCGCAACGGCGCCGGACGTTTCTTCCTCTGGCGCGGGCGCAGGCGCGGGGGTCTGGAGCATCCGCCCGCGGAAGGCGGAAGCGGGGGACGGGAGGGAAGCGGCGGAGAGGAGGACCAGCGCGAGGAGCGCGCAGGGCAGCGCGCAGAAGCGGGAGGTCGCCATGGTTGAGTCAAAACGCCTCGGGAGGGAGATGTTTGAAATGGAAGGTTGGAATGGAAGGTTGGAAGCGAAGCTCGAGAGGGAAAGCCCGAGACTGAATCTCGAGATTTGAGGCTTGAGAAAGCTCTCAAGCTCGCTCACAGAAGGATGGTTGCTGATGAGAATTAGCTAGTTCGACTGGGCTTTTGTAGTTGGCTACGGTGCGGTGGACAGCCCAGAATTTGCCCGAGTACAGCGGGATGCGTGTGAGGGAACGTGTAGGGTGAGGGGAATCGTTGCGGTGTTCCGGCCAACAGGGAATCGGACCGCGCGTCACGACTCGCGAGGCGGTTGTTGCAAGGCAATGCGATGCGATGTGGTGCATGCGACGGGTCGAGATCAGGCTGGTTGTTGGAAGGGAACGAGAAGAGAGAAGGGCGAGACATGTTTGCTCAAAGGCGAGGCAGAGAAAGGCAAGTCTGGACGACGGTGGGATGAGATGAGATGACAGTTGCGCATTGCGGTGCTGTGCTGACTGGCAGCAGAAATGTTTCTTTGCTGCTAGGGATGGGATGGGATGGGATGGGACTCGTTTTCCTGCTGCTTTGCTCTTGTGCTGCACGATGCGCGCTGGACAGTTTGAAGATGAACCGGCGGGGATGTACGGTTGGAGGTGATTCGCGAAAAGAATCGAAGGCGACCAGATGGACGACAGTGAGTTGGCAATCCAACGAAGGCGATGAGTCTTGGCGAAACAGCGGAGATGAATCGACGAAGATGAACCGGCGAAGAGGAATAATCCAACCAAGATGTAAGCACTAGTGGCATGGCATGGCATGCGTTGTTGCACACATTGTGCCCGCAGATGGCGGCGGAGAAGACCAAACGACACGAACGCGTTACTCAGGGTGCCGCATTCTGCGCTGACGTTGTGTTGTCCTCACTACAGTACAAAGTATCTATCTACACGAATTTACTTATGTCATGTCCTTATATCGAAAACCTAGAAACATGCCTAAGCTTGCTTTTCCTAGTGTGATACGCAAGTACATTCTTCAGTTTCATATCGTTTGTAAACAAGAAATGCCATTACAAGGCAACTGGTGGGCTAGGCATCAACCCCCTCACACATCCTGTTCGACCAACGCTAAGCTACGAGTGCTGGTATTGTGCACTTCGATCAAGAAAACCCAAACACAATGCCACCACTGCCATAAGTTCAGCTATACGGTACAGTAGGTCTGTTCTCATGCATGATGCATGCACCGACTTGGAGTCAGTTGCAAAGCTCGTTTCTGAATCACTGCATAACTGTTTGTGATGCTGCGAGAGAAGTGCGGCAAACAAGCCAGGAAACATGTTTCCATCTACCCAGTAAAACATCTCTGTGTCACGCCTCTTAAAAATAGATGCGCTTAGGTTCACAACGATACGTTTTTACAGGGACGGAGCTTTCTCTTACTGGTTATAAACATGAACCGTCTTTAGCCTTCTGTCAGAAAAGGATCTTCTTTGAACGAGGCGAAGGGGAGCGACTCAATGGCAGCTCGAGCAATATCCCCATCCTCGTGGATGCGAGCGATGAGAGAGGGAAGCGAGGGGAAGTCGGCCTGCGGGGTTAAGGTGCAGCAGCAGAGAAGGGGGTGGTTACAGGAAAGAATGAGAGAAGCCATTTTCTTGGATGCGAGCGAGCGAGAGTGAGGATAGCGAGGGGAAGTCGGCCTTTAGTTAGAAGGTGCAGCAGCACAGAAGGGGTGCCCGGTTGCTTCAGAAACTGCCTGAGAAAGCTACCCTCAAAAGAATGCAATGCATAGGCGAAGTGAATCAGACGGTTGCTCAGCTGACCTAAGGGAGGATTTTAGACTTTTGAGACGTCTAAGGGAATCAAGATGGTTGGTCAGCTCACCTCAGGGCGGATGTATCCCACCACCACCAGCCTGAGCTCCTCGTCGTAAAAGTCCTCCCCGAAATCATGCAGCAGCCATGGCTCCTGGGAATGACAGGGGGGTAGAGACGATGAAGAGTGGGGAGGTTACACATTTTGCACCTTCATGCAGTAGCTACAGCTCCTGGGATTGACAGGGGAAGGTGGGGGGAAGTAGGGGAGGGGGAGCCAGAGAGAAACGGGATACACATGGACACAGATGCACACATATGCACGCACACATGGGCACACATGGGCACACATGGGCACACATGGGCACACATATGGACACAGGCACGCACACACCAATCTCTTGCGAGTATATTTGAAGTTGTTGAAAAACCCACTGCACATTCATCACATCTTAAACACGCCCACACACATGCACATGCACACAACCACACAAATACACGCACATACATACATACATACACACACACACACACACACACACACACACACACACACACACACACACACACACACACACACATACATACATACATACATACATACATACATACATACATACATACATACATACATACATACATACATACATACATACATACATACATACATACATACATACATACATACATACATAAATACATACATACATACACACATACATACACGCCAGAGTCTTTTGTGTGTTGCTAGATAAAGGGTTCCATACCTCACTCATGTTCAGATAAAAACGCGCACACTGCCACATGCTCACTACGGTCTTATGTGTGTTGTTGAAGAAAGGGTTTTCCACCCCACATTCATAACCATCTCAAACACGCCCCCACACATGCACACACGCACACACATACATGAGCGCACGCACACACATACATGAAAGCACGCACGCACACAGACGCACTCACCACAGTCTTGTGAGTATTGTTGAAAAAAGGGTTCCACCCCACACTCGTGACCATCTTGAACACGCCCACACACTCATGCACATGCACTCTCAAGCACAAACACTCGCACACTCACCACTGTTTTGTGCGTGTTGTTAAAAAAAGGGTTCCATCCCACACTCATCACCATCTTGAACACGCCCCTCCCTTTCAGCCCTGCCCATCCATGGTAGATGCCGCACACGTGCTCTGCTAGGTGCCCTGTGAATGATGAGGCTGGTAGGTTGGCTGGCAGGGAGGGTGGGAAGAATAGGGAGTGTGCGAGAGAGAGGAATCAGAGGAGAATGGAGAAGGAAGAGGGAATTGAGCCCTGCCCACCTGTGGTGGATGCCACACACGTGCTCTGTTAGATTAGATGCTCAATGAAAGCCGAGGCTGGGGGTTTGGCTGGGGAATGGGAGAAGCAAGGGCGCAGGATGGGGACAGTCTATCACACACTGCCGCCCACGTGCTTTGCTAAATGCCCGGTGAAAAGTTTGGCTGGGAATAAACGAAGAGGAAAGAGGAAGATATGAGAGCGGCTCACCTGTGGGAATGCCAAGGACCTTTGAGCCGCGCCCAAATGCCTTGATAACCGAGCAATTGAAGTTGCAGGGTGTTTTTTTATCACTCTCAACACACCTTAAAGGCTCACCTGTGGGGATGCCAAGGACCTTCGAGCCGCGCCCAAATCCCTTGATGACCGGGCCTTTGATGTACCAGGGCGTGATGGGGAGAGAGCGGTGCAGCCCTGCAGGCAAAAGAGGAAGAAGAGGGGAGGGGAGGAGAGAGAGGATATGCTGAGGAACAGCCCTTAATGACCGGGCCTTTGATGTACCAGGGAGAATGGGGAGAGAGCGGTGCAGCCCTGCAGGCAAGAGGGGAGGAAGAGGGGCGAAAGAGGGGAGGAAGAGGGGAGGAAGATACGAGGAAGAGAATGAGGGACAGCACATGAGAACGGGCCTTTGATGTACATCATGGGGAAGAGAGGAACCTTGGGAGAGGACGGTGCAACCCTGGGAGCAAGAGGGGAGAGGGCCCTCTCCCCGTCACCCCGGGAGCAAGAGGGGAGGAAGAGGACAGGTGAGCGAGAGAGGGAGGGAGAAAGAACATGAGGCACAGCCTTTGATGACCAGGCCATTAATGTAGCAGGGGGCGATGGGGAGAGAGCGGTGCAGACCTGAGAGCAAGAGAAGAGAAGGGAAAAGGGGAGACATTGGAGAGGATACAATGAGGCACAGCCTTTGATGACCAGGCCATTAATGTAGCAGGGGGCGATGGGGAGAGAGCGGTGCAGACCTGAGAGCAAGAGAAGAGAAGGGAAAAGGGGAGACATTGGAGAGGATACAATGAGGCACAGCCTTTGATGACCAGGCCATTAATGTAGCAGGGGGCGATGGGGAGAGAGCGGTGCAGACCTGAGAGCAAGAGAAGAGAAGGGAAAAGGGGAGACATTGGAGAGGATACAATGAGGCACAGCCTTTGATGACCAGGCCATTAATGTAGCAGGGGGCGATGGGGAGAGAGCGGTGCAGACCTGAGAGCAAGAGAAGAGAAGGGAAAAGGGGAGACATTGGAGAGGATACAATGAGGCACAGCCTTTGATGACCAGGCCATTAATGTAGCAGGGGGCGATGGGGAGAGAGCGGTGCAGACCTGAGAGCAAGAGAAGAGAAGGGAAAAGGGGAGACATTGGAGAGGATACAATGAGGCACAGCCTTTGATGACCAGGCCATTAATGTAGCAGGGGGCGATGGGGAGAGAGCGGTGCAGACCTGAGAGCAAGAGAAGAGAAGGGAAAAGGGGAGACATTGGAGAGGATACAATGAGGCACAGCCTTTGATGACCAGGCCATTAATGTAGCAGGGGGCGATGGGGAGAGAGCGGTGCAGACCTGAGAGCAAGAGAAGAGAAGGGAAAAGGGGAGACATTGGAGAGGATACAATGAGGCACAGCCTTTGATGACCAGGCCATTAATGTAGCAGGGGGCGATGGGGAGAGAGCGGTGCAGACCTGAGAGCAAGAGAAGAGAAGGGAAAAGGGGA